TTTGATCTTGAGTATTGAGCGAAGACATCTGTTAATGAAGGTCTGTAGCTTGTTTGAGGTGCTCTTTGTGACACGCCAAGTCTCTGATCCGTATAGTAGTACTGACTTCACATTGGAGTTGAAAATCCCGATCTTATTTTTGACGCTGAATGATGTTGACCTCCACACAGACTTGAGAGTAATGAAAGCTTGCCTTGCTTTCCCGATCCTTGCTTTGATATCCTCGTCAGTTCCGCCTGTAGTTGAAACGATGCTTCCCAAGTAGGTAAAGGAGGTAGTTTCTTTCAGGTTTCTTCCATTTATGCTGATTGCTGTCTGTTGTTGTTGCTGTTGGTGTTGGCCAGGGATCTTCATCACCTCCGTTTTCTCTATGTTCACCTGGAGTCCTATCTTTGATGCTTCTTCTGCCAACTTATTACTTTTCACTTGCATATCTTCCAGTTTGTGGGAAATCAGACATATATCATCGGCGAAGTCCAGATCCTCCAAGTTCTTTGTGTGAGTCCATTTTATGCCTGTTTCCTCATTGCCCGCTGTTTGTCGCATTATCCAATCTACTGCAATCAGGAAAATCATTGGCGATAGTAGGCAACCCTGTCTTACTCCTGTCTTCACTTCGAAGGATTCCGTGAGCTTCCCGTTGTGGATTACTTGGCATGCAGCGTTGTCATACAACTGTTGGATGAGATGTATAATTGTCGGCGGCACCCCGTAGTAGCGAAGTAGTTGCCAAATCACCTCTCGATCGACGCTGTCGAAGGCCTTTTCAAAGTCGATGAAGTTGAGATAGAGAGGTGACTGCCATTCCAAACTTTGTTCAATGATGATCCGTAGTGTGGCGATTTGATCAATACATGACTTGTTTCTCCTGAATCCAGCTTGTTCTGGTCGAAGTTTTTCATCCAGGGCTTGTTTGATCCTTTCCAGGATGATGCGGCTTAGTATTTTGCTTGGGATGGACAGGAGCATAATTCCGCGCCAGTTCTTGCATTGACTTAAGTCTCCTTTCTTTGGTAGTTTGAATAGGTATCCTTTCTTCCAATCCTCGGGTACTTTGCCTTCTTTCCACACCTTCTCCAGTAGTGGCGTCATCAAGTCTGCTGTTGTCTCTGGGTCCACTTTCAATGCTTCTGCTGGGATTCCATCTGGTCCTGCTGCTTTCCCAGCTTTCAGCATCTTGATTGCCTTCAGGACTTCTGTTCTCCTCGGGGGGTTGATGTTCACTGGTAATTCTGCTTCCGTTGTTGGTATTGTTGGGCGCGTTGTAGGTGGCGGTCGGTTTAGTAGTCTTTTGAAGTGTTCAGCCCACTGTTTCCTTTGCTCCACTTCTTTGGTGATTGACTTTCCATTGTCATCCTTCACTGGCTTAATTTGTGACGAATTTTTGCCTGAGAGGTACCTAGTTGTTTGGTAGAGTGTTGCGAGGTCTCCTTTGCCTGCTGCTTGTTCTGCTTCATTGGCCATGGCTTCATAATACTTTCTTTTGTCTTCTCTGGCACTCTTCTTTACTCCTTTGTTCAGTGTATTGTAGCTTGCATTCAACTCTTGTTTCTGTTGCTCGTCGGTGCACTGGAGAATCTTTTGTTTCACCATCCTTCTCTCTTCTATTAGCCTCCAAGTGTCCGTCGTGAGCCACGGTTTGTCCTGTCTCTTCTTTCTGCCCAGAACTTCCATGCAGGTTTCGCTCCATACCGTTTTCAGGTTGTCCCAATGTTTTTCGACGCTGACCTCTTCACCAGTGTTGATTTGTGTCTCGGCTTTGTCTTTTATGCTTGCAGTAAAGATATCCTTTGTATCCTGGTCCTTTAGTTTTTGAGTGTTGAACTTGGCTTGTGGTCTATCTGCAGCTCCTGTTTCTCTGAAAGCTTTTAATTTGAGTTGGATTGTTCCTTGTACGAGGTAGTGGTCTGAGCCAACGTCTGCTCCTCTTCTTGCTTTTGTGTCCAGTAGGCTGCGCCGCCACTTCCTCGAGATTGTGATGAAGTCAATTTGGTTTTTGGTTTGCCCATCTGGTGACACCCATGTAGCCTTGTGAATATCCTTGTGTTTGTATACGCTGCCACCAATCACTAGTTCATTGAAGGCGCAGAAGTCGGCGAAGAGTTCTCCATTTTCATTCACCTCTCCCAGAGCTTCTTTACCCATGATGAGTTCCCTTCCTGTGTTGTCTGGTCCAAGTTTTGCGTTCATGTCTCCCATTAGTATTTTAATGTCACCGGCTGGAGTATTGTCTATTGCTGCCTGTAGTAGTCTGTAGAATTCTTCTTTCTTTTCGAGGTCTGCGTTGTTTGTGGGCGCATAGCACTGTATAATTGACACTTTTCTTCCTTTGGAGTTGAATCTGGCGGTCATTATTCTGGGTGAGATCGCCTCCCATTGTATCAGAGCCTTGGTTGCCGTTGGTGACATCATTATAGCCACGCCCTCGGTGTGTGTGTGGTTGTCTTCTGGGTGACCGGAGTAAATCACTGACTCACCTGTTGACAATTTGGTGAGTCCGTTTCCGTTCCATCTGCTTTCGCAGATCCCCAATACTTGTAGTCCGTATCTCCTCATTTCGCTTGCGATCTGGGCTGCTTTGCTAGTCTCGTACATGGTGCGGACATGGTGCGAGCCGCAGCTAAGGCTTTTCAAATGCTATGGGCACTTCGAAGGGCTTTCAAACGATTAGACGAGGGCATGTTCCAAGTACTCTACGCAACATATGTCATGCCTCATCTAGAGTACTGCATACAAGCGGCGAGTCCATGCTTCAAAAAGGAGGCACATACCCTGGAAAGAGTACAGAGGGTAGGAACAAAATTAGTTAGTGGTATCTCACACCTTCCTTATGACATGAGGATGGAGCATTTAAATCTCTTCCCATTATCATACCGAAGGAGGAGAGGTGACTTAATTTTGGCTTACCGTATATTCAAGGTTGATTTATGGATTGACCTTTCAAACCTTTTCTCTCCCTTTAGGATACATTTACGGGGTCACCAGAAGAAGGTGCTCAAACCGAGGTCGAATAAAATACGTTTGGAGTTTAGATTCTCTCACAGAGTGGTCAACGACTGGAACTCCTTACCTGATTCAGTAATATCAGCTCCATCGGTGAACGCTTTCAAAGCGAAACTGGATCTCTGCAGAGATATATATCGCGAGGATTAACATAGGCAACAAGAGCCTTCTATCCTTATAATCTGAATCTGAATCTTGAGTATGAACATTAGTGTTTACTGCTGACTCATATAATCTGTCTGATTTTTGATTCAGTCCTCTTCTCCCGATTTATTTATGATCATTTTACTTTACGTAAATGGGTTATTGGGGCAAAACAAATGTTTATTGCACCAGATGGTGCATATGATAAAACTGAAATCGAAGACCAATGGGACAGTCTCGTGGTAATCACTGAGGAAATAATATGTCAGTTTAGTTCATAAATTCCCTACATGGTTAGGTCTCGTTAGTACTGAGTTTTCTGTTTGAGATCTTAGTAGGGAGTTGAGAAGACGTTTTTATACTTAGACGGTACAGTGTCATAGAAAGCTGAATTGAGACTGTATACTGATGCGTCACGTTAAATAAATAAGGGCGTCATAAAGTGGCATGTTTAATTAACTTGTTATCAGGACTGTTTCAAAATGATAAATAGGGCGAACAAGTAGTTAGAGAGTGGGTTGATAAAGATTCAATCTCTGCTAATTGCGACAACTAGTTGGAATCATGGAACCAGTCAGGTTTACGCTGTGCGAATGCCTGTTGTCCGTTTTCACTTCATGTGTGATTTTTGGCTTTATTCGTTTCGCTGTATTAGTTAAAGGAAATTAACTGTGTGCTTGAAAAAGTTTGCTGCACTTTCGGAGTCCTACACTGCTTGGTTGTCTTTTTCTGGCTGTCTGTTCTGAACCACATAGAGAGCTTGATTCACCCTTCTTTTGATGTTTGACTGACTGGTTTCAACATAGAACTTTGGACAGATTGCACAAGTTCGAGTTGCCACACGTAGCACACAAAGCGAGAGAGGGGAGTAAAGGGAGTTTCAAAAGACAGATAATAAACATAGTTGTGAGGAAGAAAGAATAGAAATGTGGGATAACGATATAGTTTTATCGGTTATAACATTTCACATATTATATTTAGTGAATTTTTCTGCGCCATCATTGAAAACGATTTATCAGCCATATCACCGATTGTCTCCAGCCACCATTGGTTCCTACAATCCGGAGTACCCCAACCAGTAAGGAAGTCTACACCTCCCTACGTATCTGGCTTAAACTGACTGCTATGGATTTCATTGACTGATGAAGCCATATTTTGGTTTGGCCACCACTAACTTTTTTCGAACCTGATCCATCCTATATTAGCTACTATTGGCCATTTAGGAAGGCGACGGCTAGGCGTGCGTAACACATATTCGAACCATCTCAATCAATGTAACTTCAAAATCTCATCCTCCATTTGGCAGGTGCATTTTTGTCTTTCCAAACCTTCTGTAATGGTGGTATGGGCCTATTATTTCTTCCTAAAACGATCATATAGGTTTCCTTCAACTTCACTTTCAAGGAGTTCCGGTGTTATTTCATACGTTTCCACAGTAGTTTTCCCTAATGTCTCCGAGTTCCCCTGACGACTGTAGTGCTGTCATTCAAAGTTTAATCCTTCAGTTTCTGGGTGCTGGACGTGAGTTGTATTCTATTCTCAGCCTTTTTGCAGGCCAGGTAGTGATCCAAGCATACGTTTGCTTCTTATCTCGATTGTGTATCCTTTAGGCTACCTCCGATTTCTTGAGATTGCGAATGATTTCATCGCATTTTCGGTGTGTCCATTTGGTGAAACCTGTATCGCCTTATATCCTCAGGCCTGTACACGCTGCTCCCAATCATTAAATCATTTAAAGAGCAGAAGTCTGCGATGAGTTCCCCGTTCTTATTCATTTCACTGAGCGTCTGTTGACCCATGATGAGTTCTTTTCCTCTGCTGTCTAATTTCGATGGGGCTTGGATTCATATCACCCACTACAATTTTGATGTCACAATCTGACCGAATTCTTGTCCATTACTGTGGAAGGCTTCCTCTCCAGTGGGTTTGCTTTGTGTATAGGCGTGTAACTGTAATTGTAATATCCCTACTTTTTGAGCTGAATGTTTCCGTCATTATCCCACAGGAAGTTGGTTCCCGTTGCGTGAGAGCCTTCGATTATGTTGCTGACATCATGATAGCGACTCCATCAATGTCCGCGTGGTTGTTGTTTGGGTTACCGGAGTAGATTATTGTTTCTCCAGTTAACAATTAAGAGAGTCCGACCCTTACCATCTACTGTCACAGATTCTCTGCATTTCTTTACAACTTTACATTTCTCTTGCAGTGTGAGACGCTTTGCTAGCCCAAGACATAGTGCGAGCATCCTGTGATCCCATGCTTATTTTTGCCATCATCGTAAGATGACAGATTGGCTGGCTGACTTCCCAAAGGCTTTCACCAGCTGGCATCATTTCGTCTCTAACTTCAGCGAACGATATTTATATTCTTGTGCTATGAAATCTTTGTAGCCATCAGATTGATGTTCTGGGGTTTGAATGAAAATGTAGGAGCCAAGCATTTTCGCTTATTACCTTTGTATATCCTTGAAAGTTGCCTGTAAGCTATCACTTTTCCGAATGACTTGTAGTGTGTCGTGATTATACTTGGATGGACATAATAAATTAATATGAAACTCTTGTTGTTACCCACTTTTAGATGATTTCGGATAACGAAATATTCTCATTTCCAATTTCTGTAAGTTTGCAAACCAATCAGTTTATGATATAGATACTCACTGGTCCAGATGGGGAACAAAACTTCGAAATGGTACGAGCTGCTGCATGGCAGTCTCGTCGCAAATCGGACAACAATTTCGATCGACTCCTCGCGGATCTGTATCCAGATGGTCAGCCGGAGTTAACATTGGAGATGATCCGTATGGTTTCTTATGTTAAGAAAGGTTAGATTAATTTCACTTTATCATTGCAACTAGTCGCTCCACCTGGAACACTGGATGCATTTCCATCCGCACTTCAAAGCGCCGAATCATGGATCAGAGATAAATGGCGCTTTCAAGAGGTATTCAGATTATTAATTCACATATACATAGAGGGATTTCGTTAATACGACGCATAGTTTACAACCTACAGGACCTGCTACATCACTAAAAAAAGGTTTAAAGTAAGTTCTCATTTGATTGATCCTATTTTGTAGCATTATTTTATGTCACCATAGGTTAAATATTAATGCATTTTAAACCCTTATAGTTTATCATGGTAAATATCCTGATGTTTAGATGTATTTTGTAGGGGACTACACATTGAAAAACGTATGGGGTGTTTTGAAATAGAAGAGAAGAGTTCTGTCTTAGGTGGATGTTTTTAGCGTTGATGTGTTGTCGTAGCTATGGACGGTTTAATTGTGAAGCTTTCATTGTCCTTTTGGACAAAATGTTTTTGTGTTCTTCACATTGAAGTTAACGCTGAAGATGTTTTCCAGGAGGCAAATGAAAGCTTAGTTGATGAACCATCTACCTCGGACGTGGGTTTGTGGTTCATTGACTTAAGCCTTCGGTTTTCAGTCGACGGCTCTTGGGTTCGATTTCAGCTCCGACTACTTCAGCTTTAGTAACTGGGTAGTATTACCAGCCGTCACCCGATAAGTGTGGCTCATGGCCCTGTTACACGATAAATGTGTTCCGGGCAACTGAGCTTAAACAACATTCATCTCAGGCAACACAGCACTACCAAAAACATACGGTGTATAATAATCTCAAATTTACCAACCGCAGTTGTCTGTCAACGTTGGGCAACAGGGGATGGCAGTAGCACCATACGAGAAATTGAATGAAGTTGAAAGGGATGAGCAGAAATTCAAAACTTCCCGAACTAAGGCCAGAAAAAACTTCCCAATACTACTTAGTTTCCAACGGTTCTTCTGGCTGGTATCACTTTGTGGCAGTCATTGTTAGTTTCACAAAATTTTAGTGTATTTCAGAAAAAGGGTTTACTTCCAGAAAGTCATCTAAAATGGTATATCAAATGTTTCAGAAACTGTTTTCTAGCAACACATCATAGTTGCTTACAGTCGACACACTGCATTAATAAAGAGTTCAACTTCTAGGGAATGATAAAATGTGAGATGCCTGTTGCAAGCGCAAAGTGATCACTGGTCCAGTCTCAAGCTAAACACAACGGCTTCATACAGAATGTACATTGCTTGTGTCGTAGTTCCAGTATTCTAGTTATCATTAAGTGGCAGATCTATTACTGGTTGACTGACTTCCAGTGTTTTTGAAGATTAACATGCAACTGTAGATATTTATTGTTATCTTTAGAAAGCAGTGACAAAGTGTGCTAAGTATTAGTCGCACTAGTCCACTACTTATCCTGATTTGTTTTAAGCGATTGAGCCTTAAGTGTGTCTAGAAGTATGATACATAAGGCGATAAGAACCATATTCTAATAGTCGCTGGTGCCCAAAACAGACTCATATGTCACTTGGAGTCTGCGGATCTTAAAGCCTATGCGCATCAGTATTTTAGAAACACGGCTTTCCATGTATATGTGGGCCCATTATTTTCATCAGTTTGGTCATGTTCATAAGACAGTTGCATTCGTCGTTTTGCATTTGTAACAACAACCATTCACTGTGAGTGCAGTTAAGAGGGCTAATCTGACAAAGCCATTGTGCGCGTTATCATATGAAAGCTTTCTGAAGAAAAGACCGGAGTGTACCTACCCCTGAGCGCACCAGGGAGTAAGTTTCTTCATGCAGTTTACTCATATCATCAAAGACGTTACTAACTGGTGAGGAACTTTTTGTATTCTCATCCCGTCTTTTGCTCTTACACTGTAAAGATAATTTTGTTGGATACTTCAACAAATGTGAATACTAGTCTGTGACATGGGCAAATATTAGTGTTCAAGCTATAGAGTATTAAGCGTTCAGTTGTCCTCAAAGAGATGTAATAGTGTATCATATGCACTACATGATTCAGTTCCTCTAGCGAACATCTGATTTGGCAATATTATTATAATCTCTGTCATGTATTATACTTTCTGATTTCTCATTTAGAATTATTGAAACAGTTGTACCTTGTTCAAACTCTGTTGTCGAAGTTAAGAAACCGCATGATGCGAAACTCATGGAACTTGATCAGCATACTCCAACCAATGATGATTTAGCACCGATGAAAATTAAAGCTAATCGTACACTTCCTGGATTTGAAACCATTCTGAAATGTGGGAGAACACCTGAAGGGGGCAACACCATGCTGAGTAAAGTTGTGAGTACTTGTCAATGTATCATCAGATAATGTAGAGAATGTTGTTTTGATTGTTTTATCTTTTTTTCGTTTTAATTTTCAACATTTATGTCCAGCCGAATGAGACTATCACAGGCCAACTTTCAACTACTGGAATAATGTGTGACTAAATACTTCTTTGGTTATTGTGCTTAACGTTACTGTACTAAAAGTGCTTCACACTTAGAGGGGTCATCGATTGAGCATTTATGGTTTGTGTGTGGGCATTTCTGATTGAGAATGAGTATCATAGGTAATCTTATTGTTTCTATTAGGTGGTTGGGGGCAATCGGCAGTCACCCTTGGACCTAGGTTTCGTGCTAGTTGGCACTCGTCAGCAAGGTATATCTACGATCTTGGTGGAACTCATGTCCCTTCTGAGATTCACACCCGCGTCACTCAGTGCTGCAGTTAGAAACGTTGCCAGTGAGCTATTCGGGTTCGCGATTGACGTCCTGTAGGACTGTATTGGATACTTCTGATTGGACACTAGTTAGTGACTACTGTAATGTGTCTAGTCCTTTGTTTGGTATAGATATTGAATTCTGTCAGTCACGTTTGCAGTGTGACCAAAAGCATGCTAGGTGGCTTGCCATCGTGGTGTACTTTGAATTGTTGATATCTAATGGTTGGAGGTAATCAGGAGGAAGTCTTGGACCTAGGTTTCGTACTTGTTAGCGTTCTCCAGCAAGGCGCAGACACACAGGTTTAGTCATACAGGAGGTCAGTCGATAGCATAGGTGATGCATGTCCGAATCTCTGTGCGGACATGAGTTCTCTAAAGAGTGTATATGTGCGTTGCTGACGAGTGTCCGAAAGCACGAAATATAGGTCCAAGGCTTTCTACCGATTGCCTTCAACAACTGTCCAGAAATAACAAGATTTGGTTTTTTGATCAAAGGAAGTTCGAGTAAAGCGAAGATCATTTTTATCCAACAATCAGTACTTCAAGATTAACCGTCACAAATGACATATGCAGAGTTTTTTTTAATGAATTAAATCCGTATTCTTTTCATGTGATTATGATAGAACCAGTGGTTTTACTGTTTCTAGCTTTTGTTGTAGTGTTTATATAGGGTAGAATCTCGCTAACACCTAACTGTTACATCATATTTTGTGTTACATTTGATTTAGGATTCTATGGCTTTCAACAGTCCACTTGATATAGCTGGACGGATTAATCGTATGTTTGATAAGACACAGTTGAGTTTCGCAAATACAAAACTTGTGTAAGTTGAGTTTTTTTCTTTCTTTCAAAGTGACTGATAGAGAGGCAAGATGGGTTGAGGAGGTGTACTGTACATATTAAAATGTTACTTGCCTCAAATGAATTTATATTTGTCAGCTTCATTTCCTGTTTTCCATAGGTCTATGGGTTTCATCTTCTTTTGTTGTTCATAAATTCACTATGATTTTCTATCTAGAGTTTTGTTTAAGTTTGCTGCTCATAGACTAGTGGTAGATAAGCACATAAATTTGCATAGAAGTGCATCATCTGATAGTGCAATGGATAAAAAAATACATGTCACGAACAGAATACTTAGATGAAATTTGGCTAAGATTTTTGAAATATGCAAGTTGACGGTTGGCCTTACATTTATGTCATCATGAATAACTTTCAGCCATGTTACAAAGAAACTCAAACAACATTCTTAAAATCTCGAGAACTGCATTCAGGTGGTCATTATCACACTATGCACTATCCTAATCAACGGTCTATGACTTCAAGTGTTGATGCTGTGTATTAATTTGACTTCTAAATCTTTTGCGGCTATGGTTGTAAAATAATAAAATATTGCTGATTAAATTTTTAATACTTTCTCAGTACAACCTCATCTTTAAATATTTTAGGGAAACGAGGGGAATGCGTCGTGGGTCTCACGTTAGAAATGCCCACCACCAACCATACACATGATTGGGGTTAAACTACTGGCCGATCCACTCATAAAACCTCACTTAGCTGGTTAGTGAACCCGCTAGGGAGAGAAGATTGGGTGTCAGGCTAGCAACTTCACCCTGTCAAAACAATACTACTTCTACTGGGACTTTAAAGCCGAATGTTCCACTCGGAACGCGGAGTGAAAAAACTCTTACCTCTCTTTACTATAATTCCATCTTTATCGAACCGTTGCTTTGAGTTTATTATATTCATTTAAGCTGGAATAGATTTTTGTGTACCTGCCTCTAAAAGCCACACTCATCGTGTTAACGGTGTTCATAATATTCAGCTGCCAAGGCTGCAGAAGGTGGAGTGGGAATTGAGCTCGTGACTCAGTAACTTGAAAACGGACCTGGTGAGCCACATCAGCCTTTTATTTGCTGCACAATAGTTCAGGCTAATCGAATAATTCATTCATTCTTAAAAGCATTTGTGAAAAATCGAAATAAGTGACTCATAAAAATAATTTATTTTCAACGAATTTATTATCAAGCTGTACAATCGCATATATGTGGTTTTTTAAAAATTAATGTGAATCGCGACAAAATATTTGCTGCTTCGTCCCAGTTTGCGACTCTTCATCAATTCTTACCCACTGGGGTTCGCACCTATGGATCTTCCGGTTACAAGGTGGCCTCGTTGACCAGTCAGCCTCTGGGAACGTTCCAATGGTCCATAAATTCCAGTTGATGATATATGCAGCTCAAAATGATCGTAGTTAAGCATCAAACGAGGATGATATACTGTATGCAATGGTTTATGGAATGGAATCCACAATTTGCAAATTAATTTCGTGTTTGCACAGTTCGAGGTGAAGTTTCGTCGCGGTTTCCTTCGGAAACACAACCAGAAGAAATCGGATGCTTTGAACTGATTCGGCACTCTGAGCTGAGTCAAAGCACATACCGCCGTGTCAAATGAGCGAAACGGTCATCCGGTGTTTAGACCACAGTTTAACTTGGCTAGCGAACCCTACTGGTTGACTTGAGTGGTATACAATTACTGATATGAATTGATCAGTAGTCTATAGTTCTATGCAAGTAGTTTATTAAATTCTTAGATCGTGACAGTGGGTATATAATTAATAGAATTATTAGGTGGTCGAAATATTACACAACACGGTGAGAAGTATAATAAGACAACATTGCAAAAAGTCATATTAAATTAGGTTTTTTGTCGTGTGGCGCTTAACTGCCATTATAATCATAAATGTTTTGTCACAATCCACATTATTATATAAAAAAAGCATCATATACATTCGATTGTACAGCTTGATAATACATTTTGTTGGAAAAAGTCTCTTCGGTGAATCATTTGTTTTGATTTTCTATATATGGTGATGGGAGTTTTCGATGAAGCAAGGGAATAATGTATCACACTTCTTTGTGTCAGGTATTTTTTTCTTGTGGTGTTAGGATAAGTTTCTGAGCTGGAACAGTATTTCGTCTTGTCATGACAGAGTGATACTAAGGTTGTGAGTTCGTGATTAGAATGCTCTTCCACAACACGACATTATGACTGACTCATCACCTGAAATTATCCCCCTGAATGTTTTTTAATATTTTATTTTATTTAAACGCAGAAAAAAAACTTGGTACAATATGGCACCAAGAAAGATGTGCCACACAATAATAATAAAACAACATAGATTACAAGTAAAAATATAAGTAGAAAACGGATAGAGAACTTCATCTGGAAGGAAAACAGTCATGTTTAACAAGTTCAGACAGTATTCGTTAACTATCATCAGGAAGGGAAGAAAGAAGGAAATTGCAACACGTTCGCCATTGATTTCGATTCTTGGCCATATCCGATAACGTTTCGAGCCATCGACTCGAACTTTCTCGCGGACCCCAACCAGGGAGTCGTGACGCACCAACCGATGCTAATCTAGCACAAATATCCTTCATCCCACGACGCCACGTCATGGACTGACCACCCCTCCGCCTTTTCCATCCCGTCCCAGGGCTAGCGAACAGAGACCTGTACGGAAGCCTCTGGGATGACATTCGCAGCACATGTCCAAGCCACCGGAGCCGGTGTTTCCAGATGACGACACTCAATGAATGGTGATCTCCACTGTGTTCAAACACACGCCGCCGAACCTCAGAATTACTCACGCGATGATGCCATCGAACGCAAGCAATCCTGCGGAGACAGCGTTGATCGAACACACAGAGTCGCCGCACATACTCAGCTCGGAAAGGCTAGGTTTCACAGGCGTAGAGCAAGACAGCCCGCACCGAAGCATTGTATACCCGACCTATGACAGCCAGGCTAACGTCGCGACGGCGCCAGAGGTGGCTCAAGTTGATGTATGCCAACCTAGCCTTCGTTATACGGTTGGAAGTCTCATCCGTCACCCCTTCGCCAGCACTCACACAATTACTCAGATACACAAACTTATCAACAACTTCAAGCGGTTCACCCGCAAGAGTGAGTGCAGGTAGAGGCTCCTGCCAATCTTGTAACACTACTTTGCACTTAGACGGTGCAAAGCACATACCATACTTACCGACATTGATCGCCAACTGATTAAGTGCGATTTGGGCAGCCTGCATGCTATCGCACAGTAAGACGATATTGTCTGCATACTCGAGTTCTAAAAGTCTATCTCCAGGTAGCAGATCTACATTACCTTCACGCACATCCCCCTGAAGGAGATAAACACAAAAGTCAGGCTGGAAAAACAACAAGCGGAACGACAATTTTATTAGAGAAGATATATTATTATTATTATTGTCCCCTTGGATTCCGAATGGAACATTCAGGTTCAACAGAACATCTCCACTTTATTATATGCTCTGCAGTCCTCTTTAGTTGTACCTGCAATTGCCCATAATCTTTCACCTCTTCCTCTCCAGATCTCTTCAATGTCACCCTTGGATGACGCGCTTATCGCTTCCCATTCGCGTTCCATTGGAGCGGTGGCCTAGCGCGCGATGTCATTTGACGGTCTCCTCAGTGATATGTGCCGTATTCATGTGCATTTTCTCCTACACATCTATTGGACGATAGGTTCTTGGTTAGTTTGTAGGCATAGCTTCTTGTTGCTATTTCTTTCTGGCCGACTGGCCATTTGATCTTCAATGTGGTGCCAGTGAAGGGGAAGGGCACCTGTTGATAAAAGTCTGCAGTAGCCTGCTGGAAATGCTTTTCGTGACGTGGTGACGAAGTTTCTGACCAATATATAAGAAGTGACTGACTGACTTAACATTGGTGTTGAAAATCGGAATCTTGTTCTTTGTGCTGAGAGGAGAATATTTGGAAACCGACTTCAGATTGATGTGGGTGTATATTGCCTTTCCGATTCTGATTTTGACATCTTCATCCGTTCTGTCGCCTGTAGTTGGGACGATACTTCTTAGATAAGTGAAGGAGGTGACCTCTTTCAAATTTCTCCCTGGAATCGTGATAAGTGCTGGTTGTTATTGCTGTGGGTTGGTTATCTTCATGACCATCTCTATGTTCACCTGGAGTCCTGTTTTCATTGGCTGCTTCTTCAGGCAGTTCGTTGTTTTTCGCCTGCAAGTTTTTGAGTTTGTGTGACATTAAACATAGATCATCCGCGAATTAGTGTATTATATTTAGAAAGACTCAGGAATTAAAGCCATAAATAAAAGAAATCTGACTGGATGTGTGACACTGGTGTTCCTCAGGGGAACTTGCCTGTCTTGATACCTCACATTTTTCATAAGTTCTGTATTTAGGGACCACAGTAAGATATTTTTAGGTCCGTGTACTCTCCGTCTGTGATAAAATTAAAAAAAAATTTTGTCTTCAAAAATGAATTTAAAATAAGTATCCTGTGGACCATTTCATTCATTAACTGTGTTTATGCACAAAGTCTGATTATATTCATCTGTTCAAAGTTGAATAGTAGATGTTCTAAAATATATTTTCTTTTAATGAAGTAATAATTATATGTTTGTGTTATTTGTAACATATTTTTACAGGAATGATTCCCAGATGAATGAAGTAAGTTTCATCGCTTTCTCATGTATTGTTTTCTCAGAATTGTGTTTATCTTTGAAAATACGTTTGTTCATTGGAATGTTTTGTAAATGTCTATCATTGTTATGGTTGTTTCTTTGAGTTCATAGTAGAGCACATGACTTCAACAGCGTATCTCCATTTTGTCTTGTTACGCGTATTCTTCTTTAGCTGGCTGTACGATTGTCCGTATGCATTTTGTCACTGCCACACACGGTCTCCTGCATGTCACTATCAGACACATGCCGAAGTCGTCGTTTTCTATTCAGCTTCCACTCGAGGGCCTTGTGCACGACTTTACTCAGTCTGTGTCCCATCCATCTCCATTTTCTTAGACAGATTTGTTGTGCAATATGCCTTTTGTCGTCATATGGTCTTTTATCTTTCTATCCTAAGGGGAAATATTTTGTCCATATTACAGACGTGTTGCTCGTTGTCCCTATGTGTTACTTACAAACAGCATGTCATATGTCCAGTTTGTTCGATGCCTAACAAAGTTTATAGTTCAAGGATTGCCTCACTTCTTGCTCAAGCATGGATAGATATATTTGTTCGTTGTTTAGGCAATAAACTTTTGTCTTCATCTGAATAATTGAATTCCCTTTCTTGGTGCTTGAATTGTATCACATTTGTTTCTAACTTTGAACTCATATATTTATAATTAAAGCAGTTCGCATGTGCAGAGAAAAAAAGTTAATTTCGTATTTTGCGGTATTTACTTTTAGGAGGACATAACCAAATTCAACTAGAATCTGAAAGTAGTATGTTTTCATATGATAACTAACAAACTGTATCTGTGTTTTAAAGACTTTTCAGTGCCAATACTTTTTTTTAGGTACGCAGTTTCGTATATATATAATGTCAATGCAATGGAGACGTGTAGTTGAAGCTCTATGTTCCACTACTTACTTTTACTTTACTTCGGCTATCTCCTACGGTAGGATGAGCCGGCTTCATGAACATCTCGAATCATCGCTGCCCAGGCGCGGCGATCTGATGCAAGGTTTTGCGACAGCGTTATCCAATTCTTGTTCCACAGACGGAGTCCGTAGACGGCTTGTAGCCCCAGGCACTCCATATCAGCCTTGACTGCACCAAGCCATGTTTTCAGCTGTCCACCCCTGCGACATCGCCAAGATGGTAATGGCGAGGGATTTAGAACTGATTTGACCAGATCGTCATCTGGTCGGCGCAGAACATGGCCAAACCACCGAAGGTGACGTTGTTGGACCAGTACTGGAATTTGGTTGATGTTGTAGCAACGACGACGCACTTCTTCGTTGGAGAGTTTGTCCTGCCAACGAACATGCAGAATGTACCTGAGGCACCAATGGTCTACTACCTCGAGTCTGCGTACACCTTCCGCGCGAAGAGGCCAGGTCTCACAGCCACACAGGAGAACCAATCGTATGGGGGCTTGGTTGACCCGAATTTTAGTCGTGAGACTGATTTCCCTCTTGCTCCATAGAACGCTCCTCAGCTGTAGAAACGCATTCCGGGCGTTGGAGATTCGTGCATTCACTTCGTTTTTCGCTTGACCGTTGCGAAGCATTATGGATCCCAGATATCTGAAGGATGGCACAATTTCAATAGGTGCTCCATTCAGGTATAAGATTTCATCATTGCTGGTGGATGTGTTCGAAAACATTTTGGTTTTGGAAGTGTTAATTTCCAAACCGATAGTAGACGCGAGGTGGTTTATCTGATCGAGCGCCTGTTGCATATCGGGGAAGTTTTCAGCTAATAACACGACGTCGTCGGCGAATTCGAGGTCGGTTATATGAATATTGGGCGAAAGTTGGACGCCGTGGTGCTCGGTTAGGGCGTGCCGCAAAATCCAATCAATTGTGAAATTGAAAAGGATGGGGGATGCTGGACTTCCTTGCCGGACACCGCTGGTTACCTCAAAAGTGCGAGACTCTTCACCCGTTCACTCGGACTCGCGCTTTGGTGTTGGAGTAGTATGACCTGAGCAGGTTGATTAGCTTGGTCAGAACTCCGTCGAGCTCCATTAGATACCAGAGTGCTCCTCGATCAACTGAGTCGAATGCCGCTCGGAAGTCTATGAAGCAAGCAACCGTCGGCTGTTGGAATTTGTCCCTGTGTTCCAAAATTCTTCGCAGTGTGAATAATTGATCAACACAGCCTCTTCCAGGTCGAAATCCGGCTTGATTTGGCCTTGTTCGCACGTGGCGTTCGGCTGCGAAGCGGTTCAGGAGAATGGAAACAAAAACCTTAGCAGCGATATCAATCAGACTTATGCCTCGGTAGTTCTCGCATAGTGACCTGTCTCCCTTTTTGTGGAACGGTAGCAGAACTGAGGTGCTCCAATCGGAAGGAATGGTTTTGGAATCCCAAACTGAGCAGAACAGCGAGTGCAGCGAATCGATTAGCGCTGGAGTGCAGGCCTTGTATATTTCTGGAGGTAGACCATCTTCGCCCGGAGCTTTTTTGTTTCTGAGTCTGTTAATTGTTTTAGCTATTTCGGTTGGAATGGGTGGATCGCAGTCAACTACGTAGGGTGTTGGTAAGTGTCGTATCGGTCGATGAGACGGTTGACCAGCGTTGCGATTGAGTAGCTGCTTGAAATGTTCAGCCCATCGTTCCATCTTACCACTGGTGTCCGAAATAATTTCTCCTGATGCTGTGCGTAACACAGCATGGCTGTTAAGGCGTTTGCCAGATGATAGGCGTATGAGGCGATAAAGTTTTCCGAAATCGCCTACATTTGATGGTGCTTCCATGTTAGTCGCCACATTAGACCAATATATATATATATATATATATATATATATATATATATATATATATATATAACAAATTCATATGAAATTTATTGCAGTTATTTTATTTTTTAGTTGAATATCAAACTTGGTATATTGTGGAGATCAGAAGATGCGCCACACAAAATCTCATAGCTTGTACAGGGATTGAGATAATGCCCCACTTCTCAAAGAGAATAAGGTAGCTGTCTGATCCACACAACATTGGACAGGCATCAGATACCGCGTTCCCATAATTTTCTGAAACAAGTTCATACACCATTCGATCCGTTAGGATTATGGAGCTTATGCACTCCATAGGTTTAGAATCAAGGTTTTCCACCTTCCTTAGGTAGACCGGAATGTCCACCAATCTGGTTGTAAGCATCGGACATTCTCATTTACTTTTTCACTTCTGTGAGAAACACTCCCTCCTTGTGAAGGCAGTGAATAGGATTTAACTGACAGAGGCTATGGACGCGTGGCCGCATGATAGTATTTGGTAAGGAAGACCGGAATCTGTCTACCCCTGAGGGTACCAGGTCGTTTGTAATAGATTATTGCAATTAATAATATTCTTTTTCAAGGTGTTGAATTTCCGTCAGTTGTTTTATTTTCATTTTCTCTTAGGATACTCAAGCATCGTGTCTATTCGCGAATTTGTCGCCTATTAGTAGTACAAATTCAAAAGGAAAGACTGTCTTATGTTCTCCTGACTCACCACCCTGTGTGTTTGTACAGCAACCAAAAGGGTCCTCCAACGAAAAACGGCGTAGATTGTCTTCAGAAAAACGTACTTCTCTGGATACATCTGAAAGTGAGAATCAGGCAGCACAAAGTAGAGACGCATCTTCTTCCCAAGATGGTGTAAACAGTCGACAGAAAGTAAGGAATTATTTCCAGTGCAGACTTTGTTATATATATATATATATTTATATATATACATATATAGTCAAGTGTTTGTTTGCAGGGGCTTGATTGGTTATAGGTTGGATCACAAGTTGACATCATTTAGAGAACCAATAGACAACCAGGAAATGCTGGACAACTATTTCGTCCTAGTTTGGAACGATTCGTTAGTATGCACCTGCTGGGGCTCGAAGCCAGAGGACATTTTGGTTACAAGGCAAGCTAGTAAACCATTGAGCCACTAGGACCCGATGGATGCGTGCTGATGATGTTGGGACGAAATAGATCTGTCCTTCACTTCCTGATTTTTAAGGATTAACTGACAAATCAAATCTCTACATATCAACTCTTGAAAACAGTATGCGAATATTTACTCTGCATGAATAAATGAAAATATTTTGAAGTTTTTGTTGCATGAGAAGTTATCATTTAGTATGAAATCATTGTCACTAGAATGTTAACCATCTAGAAGTTATTGTTATTATTGTTCCCTTGGGTTTCAATCATATTTGACGGTCTCCTCAGTGATATGTGCCGTATTCATGTGCATTTTCTCCTACACATCTATTGGACGATAGGTTCTTGGTTAGTTTGTAGGCATAGCTTCTTGTTGCTATTTCTTTCTGGCCGACTGGCCATTTGATCTTCAATGTGGTGCCAGTGAAGGGGAAGGGCACCTGTTGATAAAAGTCTGCAGTAGCCTGTTGGAAATGCTTTTCGTGACGTGGTGACGAAGTTTCTGACCAATATATAAGAAGTGACTGACTGACTTAACATTGGTGTTGAAAATCGGAATCTTGTTCTTTGTGCTGAGAGGAGAATATTTGGAAACCGACTTCAGATTGATGTGGGTGTATATTGCCTTTCCGATTCTGATTTTGACATCTTCATCCGTTCTGTCGCCTGTAGTTGGGACGATACTTCTTAGATAAGTGAAGGAGGTGACCTCTTTCAAGTTTCTCCCTTTAATGGTGATTGATGCTATTTGTTGTTGCTTGGTTTACTATCTCGCTAGATTTTTATCCTTTCCAAAGTCCGAGAAAAGAGGGAGGGTTTGGCGTAGTGCCAGCTACTGCCGTACTGCAGAAAAGCAATCATACTGCTACAGAAACTTCTACGCATAAGAAAAATTTTATATATATATATATATGTGCGTCGATGGCACAGTGATTAGGACTCTCGCCGACCATGCACATGGTCCGGGGTTCGATACCCTGCCGACGCACACCCGATATCTATGGTTGGCCTGCAAAATTGGGCTACCGATATCCATGCTGAAAATTCCACACTTGTACTGAAAATACGGTGTGGCATCAAGTTGTGATCAGAATAAAAAAATAAAAAAAGAATATATATATATACATGTATGTATAATATATATGATAAACCTTGCGAGATTTTGTTCTAATGATTTTAGGAGTTTTGAAAATTTTACCGAAGTATCTTCCTTTTTGTTTCGTTTTCTTTTCTCTGCTCCAGATAAATACGGGAGATGCTAATATCGATCAGTTGAAATCAAATGTATTGAATATATTTTACGATCCTTTAGGCCTAGAAACAACTAATTGGTGTGATGATGATGGTCAAGCAGTGAAAATTAATAATGGGGAGAAATCAGTTGCTATTTCTAACCGAACTAATCCTCCGTCTGAAGATAAACAAACTTCCCTTAGATCTGCTGATATTCCTCTTGATGATATTAGTACAAAAATGAATGTTCACATGGATGATACTTGTCTGTTAGAATTTTTGGATCGTAATCTGGCTAACATTGATTCTAAAAAGACTAATATTGTCGATCAGCCAAATATTCTGCATTCTTCTCCAACAGCTTTTATGCAAGATATGCTTAAACAAGCCATGAAAACTGTGAAACATAAGAATCAACAGTGAATACGTATTTTTTCTTCATTGGATTTATTTACTCTACGTCGCTTCATTTCTGTATGCTTGTATTTCATGTGTCTTCAATAAATCACTATTTCTCTGTAAAGTCTTCTAAATTTAATTTTTTTGTGTTTGTGTATATGATTGTTACTCACCTATTTTAATTTCCTTAAGTGTTTTCAGTGGTGCACTTAAGTCTTTCATGCGAAGATTGACCCCCCTCCCGCCAAAGTTAATTGATTAATTTTACATCTAACGAATTCCTCTTCCCTGAACTTCAGATTATTTCCTCTCAGTGTAACTTTGTGTGTTGATCACATCACTTACTTACTGCATTTCAGGCTGTTAACCAGAGGGCGTGTGTACTGCTCAGCAGTCCGTTCTCTCCTTTGCGGCTGTGAGCGAGACGTAGCCATTGAGAGTGGAAAACATGAAAAGGCTAGCTGTCTTTGATCATAGGTGCCTGCATTCTCTCCAGTGTGTGAAATGATATAATAAGGTGAGCAATAGTGAAGTTTGGCGTCGAGTGCTAGGTAAAGAGGGGAAATCAATCGACGAGCTTGTGTAGTTATACCGATTGAGATGGTTAGGACATACCTAGCCATCGATTGCCTTTCTCGATGGGCAGCGTTAGCTGCCATAGAATGGATCAAGTTGGGAAAGAGTTAGTGGTGGTCATCAAACCGAAACATAACTTCATCAGTCAGTGAAATCCGCAGTAGTTAGTTTAAGCTAACCAGTCACGTATGGAAATGTAGACTTCTTTGTTGGGGCTATCGGGATTGTAGAAACCAATGGCTGGAGAGAGACATTTGGTAGTATGGCTCAAAATAGTTCTCAATGGCTAGTACATATGTATTCACTCTTTGTGATTTACATACCCAAAAATACTATTATCCTTCCATATTACTATTCTTTTTCCCTCACACTTCTGTGTATTATACGTCTTTTGAATCTCCCTCTACTCTCTTGTTTTGCTTTGTGTGCAAACTGGAGAGTGGCAACTCCAAGTGCTGCTGCACATCTGTGCAAATTTCTATGTTGAAACCAGTCAGTCAGTCAGGCATCGCTTACCTACGAAACGGTATCACCTCCGATTAATCATTAACTGACCAAAGTTGGTAAGAAGTGAAAAATGGTTTAGTTGTGTTGGTTCCTTTCTAACTCACGGTAGAATGAAGCTAACTGTTTAGGAGTTCCTTTTTTTTATCCTATGGACGCTTAAAACGGTCGCTTATTGGTTTATCCGTTTGCAGCTTGTTAATCGCTACCTTGGTAAGTTTGCTTGCATTTCATGAAGTAACACTTTAATCACTTTAATCAATCCTGAAATTCATTTATACTAAGTGAAGAGAGTCAAAGCTGTGGATTCCCATTGTTTGGGTTTGTTCCACGTCTTGCTTCGCATATATTCCCCCTTTATTTTACTTAAATCAGGAATATTTTAAAAATAGTTAAGGATTCTCTATGGAAAAGGAGAAGCCTATGTGTTGAATTTGCAATTTATGCAGTTGGAAGGGAGACCTCAGAAGTTTCCTTTGGAAACCGAAATTATGTAGATCACAAGGCATGTTTCCATAAAGGGGAATCAAAACAGCATCACAAGTCCATACCACGATATACTACTGGTTGATTGAGATGAATAGTTGTATGCCACCCACATCAACCAGCAGTACTTACTTGCTAGCTAAATCATTAAAATGGTCTAAACATGCGAAACTGTTTCGCTTGTTCGGGAGTGAACTCACCTGCCGTGCATCCCGTTTAGAGTTTGACACCAATGAGCGAAACGGTTGTCCAGTGTGTATATCACTTCGATTTGTTTAGCAATCACTACTAGTTAATGTGACTAGTATTATATTATTGTTCCCTTGGGTTCCTAGTAGAACACTACACGTCTCCACTTGCTTCTGTCTTCTGCTGTACTTTTCACCTGCGTCCATGTTAGTCCATACTGTTTCACCTCCTCTTCACACGATCTCCTCCTTGTCACCCTTCGACGTCCCACTCGCCGCTTCCCTCTCGGATTCCACTCGAGGGCCTGACGCGCGATGTCACCTAGCGGCCTCCTCAGAGAGTGTCCAATCCATCTCCACTTTCTCCTGCATATTTGTTGGGCGATTGGTTCTTGTTTTGTTTGCTCCTATAGTTTCTTGTTGGTGATTCTTCCCCGCCATCTGATCTTGAGTATAGAGCGAAGACAGTTGTTGATAAATGTCTGCAACCTGTTGCAAATATTCTTTGTGACCCGCCAAGTTTCTGATCCATATAGCAAAACTGACTTGACTTTTGTATTGAAAATCCGAATTTTGTTGTTGATGCTGAGTTGAGTGACGAAGATTTCCAGATTGGTTTCAGGTTGATGAATGTGTTTCTTGCCTTCCCGATTCTCGATTTGACATCCTCGTCCGTTCCTCCTGTAGTTGAGACAATGCCCCCTAGATAAGTGAAAGAAGTAACCTCTTTCAAATCCATCCCGTTGATGGTGATTGGCGCTGGATGTTGCTGTTGTTGTTGTTGGTTGGTTATTTTCATAACCTCCGTCTTGTCTATGTTCACCTGGAGTCCTGTCTTTGCTGCTTCTTCGACGAGTTTGTCGGTTTTCGCTTGTAAGTCTTCGATTTTGTGTGACATCAAACATAAATCATCCACGCGCGAAATCCAGGTCTTCTAGATTCTTCACGTCGGTCCAGGATATCCCTGTCTTCTCGTCTGACGCATAATCCAGTCGAGCACAATTAGGATTATCATTGGTGATAATAGGCTAGCACCCTTGTCTGACTCCTGTGTTTACTCCAAACTCCTCGCTGAGTTTTCCGTTGTGGATCACTTGACATGTGCCGTTGTCGTACAGCTGTTGAATAAGGTTGATGAATATTTGGGGTACGCCGTAGTAATCGAGTAGTTTCCAAATTACTTCGCGGTCAACGCTGTCGAAGGCCTTCTCAAAGTCTATGAAGTTGAGGTAGAGGTTTGATTGCCATTCCATGCTTTGTTCGATGATGATGCGTAGAGTTGTAATTTGGTCAGAAGATGATTTGCCTTTCCTGAATCCAGCTTGTTCTAGTTGGAGTTCTGTATCCAGTGCGTCCTTTATTCTCTGCAGGATGATGCGACTCAGGAGTTTACTTGGCGTCGACAGGAGCATGATTCCTCGCCAGTTCTTGCAGAGTCCTAAGTCGCCCTTTTTTGGTAGTTTCATGAGGTAACCTTTCCTCTAGTCAGTAGGCACCTTTCCTTCCTTGCAGACCTTTTGCAATAATGGAGTCAGCATATCTGCTGTCGTTTCTGGGTCCGCTTTCAGTGCTTCCGGGGGAATTCCATCTGGTCCAGCTGCTTTTCCATCTTTCAGAAGCTTGATTGCATTCAAGACTTCAGCTTTCGTTGGAGGATTGGTGTCAACTTGCAGTTGTGTACGTGCTGTTGTTGATATTTCTGGACGGGTTGTAGGTGGTGGTCGATTCAAGAGTCCTTTGAAGTGGTCCGCCTATTGTTTAATCTGCTTTTCTTCCTTGGTAATTGGGTTCCCTTGGTTGTCTTTTATAGGTTTCACTTGTGTTGATCTCTTCCCGGATAGAGACTTGGTTATCTGATATAGTGTCCTCAGGTCCCTTTTGCCTGCTGCCTTCTCAGCTTCAGCAACCAGGTTGTCGTAGAATTGTCTTTTGTCCTTCCTGGCACTCTTCTTCACTTCTTTGTCCAGTGCTGTGTAAGTTGAGTTCAGCGTCTCCTTCTCTTGTCCATCTTTGCATTGAATCATTTTCTCTTTCACCATTTTCCTCTCCTCTATTAGCTTCCAAGTGTCCGTTGAGAGCCATTCTTTGTCTTGTCTCTTCTTTCTCTTTAAAACCGTTGAACACGTTTCGTTGTAGATCACTTTTAGAGAGTTCCAATGGTCTTCCACGGATGATTCCTCAGTGATGCCACGTAGTGTTTCCTGCTTTGCTCTGACCGTTGCAGTTAAAATTTCCTGTGTGATTGTGTCCTTCAGTTTTTGAGTGTTGAACATGCATTGTGGCTTATCCCCAGGTATCCGCGAGGCTTTTAGCTTCACCTTGAAAGTCCCTTGTACTAGATAGTGGTCTGAATCCACATCTGCTCCTCTCCTCGATCTTGTGCCCAGTAGCCTCCGTCTCCACTTCCTTGAGATTGAAATGAAGTTTATCTGGATTTGGTGAAATCCATGTTGCCTTGTGTATATCCTTGTGTTTGAACACACTGCCACCAATCACCAAATCATTGAACGCGCAGAAGTCTGAGAAGAGTTCAGCATTATCGTTCATTTCACCGAGGGCCTCACGACCCATGGTGAGTTCCCTTCCTGTATTGTCTCCTCCCAGTTTCGCATTCATATCACTCATCAGGATTCTGATATCGCCATTTGGGACGTTGTCCATTACTATTTGTAGTCATCTGTAGAAATCCTCCTTTTTCTCTTGTTCTGAGACGTTTGTAGGCGCATAGCATTGAATGATTGTAACTTTCCTTCCTTTTGAGTTGAACCTGGCTGTCATTATCCTGGAGGAGATTGGTTCCCACTGCATGAGAGCTTTGGCTGCTGTTGGTGATATCATGATGGCCACACCCTCGGTGTGCTCGTGGTTGTCCTCTGGGTGACCGAAATAGATTACTGTCTCCCCAGTTGATAGTTGACACCTTCCACATCCGTTCCATCTGCTCTCGCAGATTCCCAACACTTCTATTTTATATCTCCTCATTTCTGCGGCTACCTGAGCAGCCTTCCCAGTTTCGTACATTGTACGAATATTCCGCTTCCCCATCCTTATTTTTGCTTTCATCGAAAAGAGGCACATCGAAGGCTTTCACCAGCCTGCGTCATTTCCCTTCTCCGATTCCAGCAAAAGATAAGGTTATTGTTGATATTTTCAGTATTTTTAATATATTTGTGCGTTGAAGTTTTTGTAGCAATTTGGTTAAGTTTTGGGGTTGGAGTTGCTAGCACCACGCCCTCCCTCTTTATCCGGGCTTGGGGCCGGCTAGAAAACTAGCGAGCTAGAAATTTAGGCGAGGTTAATGTGACTATTATACCACCACTCATCTCAGCTAAGCAGTATATTATTTGGTTTTAGGTAGAAGTCTGTATTTTTGATTGGACACTAGTCAGTAACTATTCTAATGTGTCTAGTCGTATCTTCGCTGGAGACTGAATTCTCTCAGTCAAGCTTGCAATATGGCCACCATGCTAGGTGGCTCGCCATTATTGTGCACTGTGAATTGTTGGTATTAGATGGTTGGAGGCAATTGGCAGGAAGCTTTGGACCTAGGTTTCGTGCTAGTTGACACTCATCAGCAAGCGTATCTGCAATCTCGAAGGAAGTCTATGTGTTCAGACTAAATTTGTTTAACTAAAACTGTATTTGCAATGCAGAACATTGCACGAAAGCGCGCAGCAGTTCAAGGTGAAACACTTCATAAAAGCACACACATAGAAAAGGAAGAGACAACGAAAAATAATACTCGATGAGAGGGATGAAATAAGCACACCGAAGCATTTGCTGGGCTGTTTGTTTCTTGCTCGTATGGTCTTATAAGTGCAACTTTATTTATTATCCTATTCATTTTCGTTCCCAGTGGAACGTAGGGCCTCTAGCTTGAGCTTTGAAGTTTCAATAGTAACAGTGGTGTTTTTAACAGGGTGCAGTTACTGGCCTCACCCAGCCTTTCCTGTTTATTGGGCTTAAAACCGGCTAAGACAGGTAAAGATGTGCGCTGGCCGGAGATCGTAACCCGTATCACGTGGGGTGTGGTTGGCGAGCATTTTACAGATAAACGGTCAACTCACATATGTCGAATTTAACTTGGTATAACTTCATTTACATAATCCGATGTGAAGCTTCATCGAAACCTAATTTAGAGTTACTTTTGTTTTCAGTACATATCAGTGTTTATCCTTTTCTAATGGTGAAACAAATGGTGATAAAGAAGAATTTCTGTTCTGTTATTGAAATTCGTTTTATTTCCCACTTATTCATAAATCTTCACCGTTGGTCATGTTGATCATTTAAAACCCCTATTTCGGACTAGTAGTCATGCTGTCTTTACTGCGTACTACTCCCAGCGAAACTACACTTCGTGTAAATCAATGGCCATAAGTTCATTGTTACAATTTGTCAGATATTCGCTAGGTGCTGTGTAAATGGACTTCTACCTTTGAGTGAACCATCTGATAACATTTAGCACTTGTTTTACTTCCCCCACCTCAACCATTAAGAAATGAGGGTATTGTGATTTTGACAGATTCCAAGGACTTATTACAGACTACATTTTCCGAAGTGAACCTTAGTCTTCTTTTGAGTTAGTGTTGAGCAAAATAATATCCACATACCTTCAATCTGTTCATCTGTATAGTAGAGAGTGTGTCGGCAGATTGAAGTTTCTTGGGACTTGCATCTACATGTAGTTGCCTTTGGGGTAAATAACATTATTACACAATTAGCTGTGAAGCAGTTAAAATGATTGGAAAAACTACTAGTCAACAGATGTAGGATTGTAAGTTATTTTTAAACTACCGCTTAAGATTAGCGGGCTGTGCTTATGTGCAGACTGGAGATGATTTTGAGTGATAATATATATGTTTTGGGTGACTGAGTGCCGTATAAAGGGCAAGTTCAACTGATGCGCATCAGTGGTGGGGACTTTTTTTATAGCTAAACTAACTGACTGATTTCAACTTAGGACTTTGCATAGATGTGCAGCAGTTCGAGTTGCCACGCTCCATATAGCACACAAAGCAAGGGAAGACAGTAACGACAGATGATAAACAGAAAAATGTGTCAAAAAGAATAGTAATTTTGAAGAACATAGCAAAACTGATTTGAAATATCCGCAATTGTTTGTGTATTAATGCTAGCAATCTTAAAATGTAACGGTGTGCAACCGACAATGATAGGTGAGATGTTTTTTATTATATAACTACAAGCGGGTTGATAGTCCAGCAGTTCAACGCTCACCGGCCATGCACCACATGGTCTGGAGTTCGAACCTCGGCCGCCGGACACACCCCTAGACCTTTGCTAAGCCGGTAGTAAGCCCGGCAAGCAGGGAGTGTTAAGAGTTAGGTCATCAAGCCCACCTCTTAAAACTAAAAACCTCCACTACCGACACTTCAAAGCTGTAACTTGAAGCTCTATGTTCCACTCGGAACGTAAAGGAATAGAATAGTGATGAAATACGTAACGACGAACTAGACTGTGTTAGTTCTTATTCTTTGGTGAATTACTTTCCTAGGAATCGTTGTTGTATGTTGCAATGTACAAATGATGAAATTTCAAGGCTTATTTCCTCGTATTTATTTTTTACAGGCTTGAATAATTCTCAAGTGAAATGGATAAAATTTGGCATTCTCCGGAAGGTAAGCTTTTTTTTTATTAAGCATCTTATTGATATTTTTCTTTCAGAAGGAGATTCAAAAAGTTCTATTCGAGATAGTGAAGAGGCTTTAGCTGCACTGAGGAGAGAAAATTTCCGGTTACGATTAATGCTGTATAATTATGAACAAATTTATCGTCAACCTCATAATTGTGATGATCAAGAATCATCTGTAGATTTTTGCATATATTTATTTAATATTATTCTTTATTTTATTACTTTAGCGTATTTATACTGCTGAATGTGAAAATGTAGTTTTACGAAAGTTAGTCAATGAGAAACAACAATCACTAAATAAAGCCTCGTAAGTCAATGGTTCAATTTTCTAATCACATTCATTTGATATAACAAACAGAGAAATTATTGGCTCGTTAAAGGAAGAGAATAACCGTTTGAAAGTACTAGTTGCTGAGATGAAAAGTAAAAATGAAGAAGCTGAAATCGGTTTGTGCTTTTCTTTTTTTTCAATCAATGGTTTATTTTTTTAATGTACTTTAGACTGGCGAAATAAATACGATAATCTATGCAGTGAATTACAAGCATGTCATAAGGAAATACAATCTCGAGATATGAATCTATTGGTAAAAGATGCTGAGTTAAGTAAACAACGTAATGAGTTTGAAAGGTGTGTCATTTTTGATTTTTGATGTTTTGTTATCGTTATTATTTATTATTATTATTTTTCTCTTGGGTTCAATAGCACGTCTCCTCTTTGTTCTATTCTCTGAGGTTCCCTTTAGCTAGGCCTACGATTGTTTACACTCTCTCATCTCTTCCTTGCACGATCTCTTCCATGTCACCCTCGGACCACCTACTCTTCCCTTTCCATTCGGTTCCCACTGGAGCGGTGGCCTAGCGCGCGATGTCATTCGACGGTCTCCTCAGTGGCGTGTGCCCTATCCATGTATATTTTCTCCTACATAATTGTTCAACGATAGGTTCTTGGCTAGTTTGTTCCGATAGTTACTTGTTGCTGATTATTACTATCTGACTGGCCATTTGATCTTATCTTGAATTTGGAGCCAACCAAGGAAGCAGTTGTTGGTAAAAGTGTGAAGTCGTTTGGAATTGCTTTTGGTCTCTGAATCCTACAGAAACACTGACTGATTTAACATGTGTTGAGGAAAACAGGACTAATGGCGTTAAATAATATAAAATTGATGAAAGTATCTCTTCCGTAAGAAAATCAATAAAAGGACGCTGTTTATCTGACATGTATTATGTCTGTCTGTCTGTTTTCAACATAGAACTCTGCACCGATGTGCAGCAGTTCAAGTCGCCACACTCCATGTAGCACACAAAGCCAGAGAGGAAAGTAGAAGAAATGCAAAAGAGAGACAGTAGACAGGGATATGAGACAAAAGGAATAGTATTAACGAAGAACAACATAGTTTTATCGGAAATTATAAGTCACATGGAGTGGATGCGTCTGCGCCATTGAGAACGACTTCGAGCCATATCATCGATTGTCTTCAGCAATTGGTGTTTACCGTCCCGAGGACCCCAACCAATCAGTCTACACCTTCCTATGTGACCATCTTAAATTAACTGTTGTGGATTTCATTGACTGGTGCCATGTTTTGGTTTGACCGCCGCTAGCTCTTTTCCAGCCTGACCCTATGTCAGCTAACATTGCCCGTCGAGGAAGGCGATGACTAGGCATACGTAACACATGTTCTAACTATTGAAACTCGACAATATTCGCAGGATAAAGTGGGTGGCACTACTTCAAAAAAGTGATTTGCCATATAATTGCCCACGAATGCCTTAAACTCGAAGGATATATATTGCTGATTAGATATTTTTTTTATTATTTTATTTATTTTTTATATTTTTATTTACAGCTTGATTCCACACCGTATTTTCAGTACAAGTGTGGAATTTTCAGCACGGATATCGGTAGCCCAAATTCAGGCCGACCATAGTTATCGGGTGTGCGCCGGCAGGGGATCGAACCCCGGACCATGTGCCTGGTCGGCGAGAGTCCTAACCACTGTGCCACCGACGCACCATGTGTTTAGTAAAGTGACTTATGATCTTCTGTCTGTTGTTTCTCTTACCTTTTTTAAGATCTCATTTTTTTCTGTCTGTGTACTTTTGGCATTGATACTCAAAGAAATATTTGCACTTCTCCCAGAAAGTGTCAACTGAAAGTTAAGTTAGTGAATTTTAGTTTGAACTGTCCAGTGAAAAACATGAAACAATTCACACATTCATGCACACATACACACAACACTGTTCGCCTTTATCCTCGCCTTGTGCACCCTGTTGGTTTATAAAATGTAAGCTCCTTCCTACTCGTTCAGTTTTATAAATTCACTAATAAAGTGTTGTCGCTATATCTCCCCTCCTTCTGCACTGATCTATAGTCACATATCAGAGCTTCAAAGACATTTGGATATGAGTGAATCATTGAATAATCAATACCAACAAGAAATCCAGTTGTTTCGAACTGAAGCGGATAATTTACGTACTACATTAGAAAATTTAAATGAAGAACAACCATGTTTATTTGATGCTGACGCAGCTATTGATCAAATTCAATCTGCTGATATTCATAATTCTTGTAAGGTAAGCTGGTGAAGTTTTTTTGATGTTATTCAATCTGTTTATATATATTGAAACGGCTCTGGTCTATAATTTAGATATTTATGGGTGGGTTAAATTACCTAGAACTTACAGAAGTGGGGCATATGTGTATTGTTGATTGTGTTGTGTATATTCTTATTTTCTCATAGTGCACAGTTGTTGTCGAAATTGAGAGGCTGTATCTCTGACCTGAAACGATGCAAGTTAGCTGGACCTGGGTGTATCCGGCGTTTGATAATGGTCGTGATGAATTATAACATGGATCAACTAAGGTATCCTATAGGAATTCAAGACAGTTCCTTTGGACTGGTATAAATTGTTGATCGTCGCAGTTTATTAGGAGAGATATAAATTCACTTGTGGAAATTACAGGAAATCGGATTGACTGATATAGTATTCAGATTCTAGATTCGATAGTCTCATGAAGTTTACATAGAGCTTGAGAAAACAAAGCCGAGGAAACCGTGACCGATATAAATTGTATTGATCATATCTCCACTCTTCGACAAGTTCTGGGATATAGGCGTATTGTACTAGTGTCTGACGCTTGGTCGATTGATCTATGCTGTAATAGTGTCTAGCTATTGAGGGAGTATCAAGAAAGGATGTTGTACTACTCAAGGTAGTCTGACTGATTGAGTTTTAACATAGAAGTTAACACAGAAAAGCAGTACTTCGAGTTGACACACTGAGTAGCACACAAGGGAAGACAAAAGAGAGAAAAGAAAAGCTATAATGGACTGTAAGTACAAAACATGGGCACTATGGTAGTAAGTAATTCCATATTAGTTGGTTTATTAGATATATCATAATGATGGCTATAGTGGACTATAATAAAACTGAAATGTAAGGGAGAAAGCAAAGTAATATGGAAAAAACATTATAGTTTAGTGAATCTGAGAGACTATCATTTGTGTTTTTCTGGTTCTGATCTCTATTTATGCCTACAGATTTAAAAGAAGACAGAGAAACTTACTTACGATGGAGTGGTATTAACAGTGGGACTAAAGTAAGATGATAAAAATGATGGAAATGAAGACAGATGAAGATAAGAAAAGCTTTGCTTGCTTGTGGTAATGTATGGCTTATTTCCCGGCCGCCCACAGTTTGGAAATAGACTTTTCCTTGAGTAACCTGAAACAGAAGGAGCAAAAGTGTTGCGTAACTGCTGAGTCTAGTGAGGGCCGATCACACACAGCCTGTTTGAATTGGTTTTTGCAGTAGTATACTATGCTTGAGCTGCACATGTACAAATATTACCATACTGTTGTAACAGCAGAAGACAAGAATAAAGGTGTAGTCAAAATACGTCTGCCACATATCAGTCACAATTTGCAAATGGCTTTGGTATTGTGCTACTTTTGTTTTCCGTACTGTGCTTCTTCGTTTTCTTCTTATGTTTTACACGTTGCTCCAGAGATACCGATAATATGCATATTTACATCTGTATCTATATACTACTCATAAATATTGTTAGTAACACACAATATTTGTGACTATATCTTCCTAACGATTTTTGGTTACTTTTAGGACCTCTAATCTGCTACTGGTTAATCATGCATATCAGCAAGATGTTCAGTAATAGTTAATGTTTTTCTGGCACCTTATCCCTACTATATTTATAATATACGATTTTTTGTTTTCGTTACTACTGATAAAAGTAGTTTGTGTTGTTTCATGTCAAGAAGAAATGTTATCCTCACCATGAAATCACCAAAAGAACAGTTTTATTCTCTTACATATTTGTACATATTTCTTTTTCAGAAACATTTCAATGAATTGTCAAATATGATACACATACTTTGGAAACAGATTAAGAATGCTGGTTTAATGCCTGAAATCTCCTTGCGTTCTTTATCTGATATATGTGATGAAGTAGATCATCCCGTATGTATGGATTCTGATGACTTCGCAGTTGGAAATACTGATCATTCGGCTAACGATTCTGTGTCGATTTTAAATAAAACAACTTTCAATTTGAATGAACGTTTAAATTCTGCGCGTCTATTGATTTTAGAATTAGGCAATGAAAAGTTACGACTAGATAAATTGATTGCTACGACGAACTCATCTCATGAAGTAAGTTATTTATAAATTCTCTTATTTAGTACTTTGATAGGCATGCATGTTACAAAACTTTGTTGATTTTGTATTAACTGTAGTGAGTCTTGTTTGAAGGTAGTGAGAAGATCAAACAGCGTGTTTGTGTGGCCATCGATTAAAGGATGAGTATTCTCCTCAACGATCCACTCTGTTCTCCTGTCAAGTGTAAGATGATGCTATAGGACTGGACTGCATTGACTCGTAGGTTAAACCTAGTGAGTGAAGTGGTAGAGCGTATTGATCACTTCCTCACTTATTCGGGGAGTTGCATCAGTCAGTTCCAGCGGGTTGGTCGTTGACGAAATTTCAGCACGGATACGGAAGGCTCGTTTAGCTTATGCGAGTTTACACTGTCTCTGGCGTGGATGTGATGTCCGGCTGGTTATCGACCATAGGTCGTGTGTACTGCTCAGAAGTTCGCCCCGTCTTCCTTCATGACTGTGAGCAAGACATGGCCATTGAAAGCGGAAGACATGAAAAGACTAGCTAGTCGTCATTGATCACAAATTCATGCATTCTATCTCATGTGTCAGGTGGCATAATAGGGTGAGCAATATTGAAGTTTGGCCTCAATCGAGTGCTAGGTAAGGAGGGAAAATCAATCGACGAGGATGTAAAGTTAGATCAATTTATGTCGTCAGGACATGTGTTACTCATGCTTAGCCATTGATCGCCTTCATCGACGAGCAGTGTTATCTGACATAGGATTGGTCAGGTTTAAAAAGAGCCAGCGGTGGTGGTCAGGCCAAAACACAACATCAGTCAATGAAATCCACAACTTTTAGTTAAAGTCAGCCACGTAGGTGGGAGACTTCCTGACTAGTTGGGGTCCTCGGGATGGTGGGAACCAATGAAGTCTGTAGAGATATGGCTGAAAATCGTTTTCAGTGATGGCACAGGTGCATTCACTCTATTATTTTCATATCCCATAAAAATCCAATGTTCTTCTATGTTACTATTTTTTCCCCTCAAATCTGTGTTTATTATCTGTCTTTTGAACCTCCTTTTACCATCTTCTCTTGCTTTGTGTGGTACATGGAGTGCGAGTGGCAGTTCGAAGTGCTGCTGCACATCTGTCCAAATTTTTGCGTTGAATCCAGTCAGTCAGTCCTCCTTAATGACTGTGAGGTATGGCTATTGAAAGTTGGAGATATGAAGTAGCATTCTGCCACTGACCACAGATATTCGAGTTCTGTTTCCCGCATGAAATGGTGTAGTATGGAAAGTAATATTAAGACTAGACAGGGACTAATCGATCCATGAGGTTTTGTAGTTACATCAATTGAGATCGTTAGGACACGCGTTGCGCATTCCGAGCTACCACCTGCGTTTACAAGCAATGCTAGTTAGCATAGGATGTGGTAGGGAAGAAATTAGTGGTTATCAAATCCATGATTTCTTTGGTAATTGGTTTTAGCTAGCCAGTTAGAGAGGTTTAGGCTGCCTAGTCGGGTTTGAGGCCTTTTGGTGTTTGCCAGTTTTGAAATCTTCATACGAATGTGTTATTTTGAAGTTATAAATGCATGTCGATTTAGACAGGTAGTCCATGTGATGTCCATACGGACTTGGTCATGTCAGTAGTAATATTGACTCTAAGCGTGACCAGGCCAGTTCTTTTACATACAAGCTAGTTTTAACTGACTTGAAGAATCAGGCATCTTCGGTGCTTGATGAAGCTTCATACATTTTTTTGAAATCCATCATTGGTGCATTAGTTCTGACTTTTTAACTTTGAAACTTCACTTTGATACAATAGAGTATGTTTCTCATGTGTCTCGGTAGATGCCTTTTATGCTTAACCAAATCAATATTTTAGGAAATCAGTGATTGAGGTGAATACAGATTGATTTTTAATGTCATTCTGTTTATCTGATAATTGACCACTTATCGATTTATAAACGTCATTTCAGATGGATGCAGTTGGTATTCAAAACAAGGACAATTGCATTCATAGGTTTCCCATGAAACTATTTTTTTACTCCTGGGTATAAAACTCAATATACTTAAGTTATAAGTCTCATGTAATTTAGCATATTAGTTCAGTTGTATATGCAACTGCTGAACTTCTGTACAAAGTTCTATGTTAAAACCAGTAAGTCACTCACACATGTAGTAACATTCTTACTTCAGGCTTTATCTGAGCATATATTTCACTGATTTGTTTGGTTCCGAGTGGGGCATGGGCCTCAGTAGTACATTTCCACTGCACTCAGTTTTATGCTGTGCTTTTTAGCTGATTCGGCGACTGCACACTAGCTCTCATTTCCTCTTTACATGATCTCCTTCATGCCACTATGAGGTAAACTTGTTCCTTTTTAAGTTTCTTGAGTGTGATTTCACTTGAAGGTGTCTTCTAAGACTATGTCCAGTCGATCTGGATTTCGTTGTCTGCTAGAAATTCCGATACTGTCCCTTGTGCTTTAGATGTCTTCACTGACTTCATAGTAACTAACGCTTTTCTTACTTTTGCGATTCTGACTTTGACGCATTCAACCGTGCCATTTGTAACTGAAACGTTAGTGCCCAGTTTGAAAGAGATAACCTCCCTTACATTTTCCCCGTTGATGACGATGGATGCTTGTTGCTGTTGGCTAGTATAATGCATTTTCATCATCTTTGTCCTCTCTATGCTCACCTAAAGTATTCATGGTTGTATGATACTAGGCGCAAATCATCCGTGGAATCCAGAACTTTTGAGATTCTTTTTATCAGTTCAACTTATACTCTTCTTCTTCTTCTTCCCACTTCCTGTGGTCTGTCGAATGTTTGAATCTATCACAATTAGGAAGATAATCTGTGGTAGTGGATGCGTAGCTTTGTTTTACTTCTGTCTTCTTTTCTGAACTGTGAAACCTTTAATTTCCACTACTTTTGCATTTGTTAGGAAATATTTAAGTATCATTTTCAAAACAAGAGTACAAACATTTGTTTTTATTCGTATATTATCAAGAAAGGCCTAATAAATTCATAAAATTTTTGATTGGACATTAATCAGTGACTAGTGTAATGTGTGTGTGTCTAGTCCTATCTTTGGTGCAGACTGCATTCTACCAGTCAAATTTACATTGTGATCACAAGCATGCTAGGTGACTCACCGTCATAGTGCTCTGTGAATAGTTCAATGGCAACGTCTCTGACTGCAGCACTGGTTGACGTGGGTTCGAATCTCAGAAGGGACATGAGTTCCTTTGAGGTTGCAGATACGCCCTGATGATGAGTGCCAACCAGCACGAAACCTAGTTGCAACCAAGGCACCCTGCCGATTACCTCCAACAATCTAATAGCAGATTAATACAATTCCTACTTGTTGAATTTCTTTCTTTATGTAGAGAGAATTGGCAGTTATAAAAGAAAAATGTTCAATTACTGAAAGCCAATTATCAGTAAGTTTCTCTAATTTGATTGTAATATCACATTTATAACAAGAGACAGGCACAGTTACATCAAACGGAACTTACAAGAAGAGATTCAGAAATCACAGTAAGAGTCGTTTTTTGTACTATGGTTTAAATTACATAATATTTTCTTTATTTTTTAATGACTATATTTGTATTTACATTTCGAACTTTATTTCTCCTGATCATAAAAGCAGTTTTAAATCTTGGGTACCGGTATTTAGATAAGAAGAGGAGTAGCAGTGCACTAAAATTCTTCAGAGGTTTATCATTATGCAAACACTGATGGATGAGGTTGTGGAGCTACATCGATTGAGATGCCTAGTACATGTGTTGCGTATGGTTAGCCACAGCTTTCTTCGTCAAGCCAATATTAGCTAAATTTGGTTGGAAAAGATTTAGAGTTGGTCGAACCAAAACCTGATACCAGTCTATGCAGTCTTTGACAGTTGGCTTGAGCCATCTACTTAAGGAAGTGTAGACCGATTGGCTAATTGGTGTCCTGTAGACATTATTGATGATAGTGCTGTGAACGGTTTACAGTGGCGTTGATGTATTCATTCTCTGTAATATCTCAGATCCATTAGGTCTCCATGTCTTCACTTCTAAAGACAGCTCCACTAAGCTACTAAGCGACTGCATGAGTCCAAGTGGAGTCCTTTGAGTTAAAAGTATTCAAACCAAAACCTCATAACAGTTCATGAAAACTTTGATAGTCAGTTCGGATCACTTAGGGAGGTGAAGGCTGCGTGGTTGGGATCCTTGATGTTCTAAGAACCAGTGGTTGAAGACCATTGAAGATATGTCTGAAAATCGATCTCAATGGATGAGGTTCATTCACTCTTTGTATTCACTTAGATCCACTAAACCATCATGTTTTTCCATCTTACTTTGCTTTCTCCCTCACATTTCTGTTTTATCATGGTTTATTATAGTCATTCTTTTTTCTCTTTCATCTTCTCTGGTGTAATACGTAGAGTGTATTAACTTGAACTGCCGCACTTGTGTGCTAGATTTTATGTTGACACTTAGTATGCACATATCGTGCATACGATAATATATATATATATATATATATATATATATATATATATATATATATATATATATATATGCTTTTTGTTCTCTTCCCAGCGTTTAAATCAATGTATCAGTGATATTATCAAACGACTTGAAAATTCTTTACTAACACGTGATAAAGTTCAGTCTGAACTTGATATTCTCAAAGAACAGTTAGAAAGAAGTAAACGTGATCAATCCAAACTTCAAGATCAATTGGATTCAGTGAGTTTGTTTTACTTTCCTCCGGGTCCCCCACCAGTTTTACTTTTATCATATGAAATGTCAATATGTATGACCAAAATAGTGATGATAATGATTCGAAATCAGTCTCAGTGTTTGTAATGTCTTATCACCTTGTTTTCATCGTTTGTTTTGTTCCATTCTACCACGTTCAATGCTATACTACTTCACCTGCTTTTCGCCCTTTCTTCTGTTATTCAACCTGATATGCCTATTGGTTTTGAACCTTGATTGATGAAGGTAGAAATTTAGAATTGCTGTCATTTCAATAGGTCAGTTGTAGCCCAGGTTATTATTATTACTAAAACAAACTTGGTACATTGTGGTCACCAAAATCGTATAGTTCTTTTGAGTGTTGGGCTACTACTCGAACTCTCAGACTGAAGCAAGTGGTTGTCTTAAGCGAACACTCCTCAATCTTTGACTTGATCCCGAAAGCAGCGTAGCTACGCTCCTGTGGTCTCCAGTGACCAGTTTGATCCTTTTGGATTCTGGAGCCTTTGCACACACCATAGGTTTGAAATTAGAGTTTTCCACCTGCCCCTGTTCAGTTCAGCGTGTCCACCAATCTATTTGTAGAGCTACAAAAGCTCTCACATTCATCCTTTCACTTTTGTGAGGAACACCCTCGTCTTGTGAAGGCAGTGAATAGGACGTACATGGCAGTGGCTATGATTGCTTGGCCGCATGAGTGAGCTTTTGTAGAGGTAGACCGAATCCTTTTCACTCTCGGCTGCTGTACAGCGATTTTCTACCTCATCTTGGATAGTAGAGATTATTAAAATCCCCACAAATGAAACGACTTATTTTGCACTATGTACTCTCATAAGTTTAGTACATCTGTTACAGGTTGCCACAACTAACGTAAGTGTGACACAGTCTGTAACGGCGGTTCACATGAGCACTCGGACATTACTTACATCAACCAGTAGTACTTTCTAGCCAGATTATCGAAGTGGTCTGGACACCGAACGGGTGTTTAGCTGGTTTGGGATTGAACTCCTCATTGGTGTACCCAGTTTACCTCAGCTGGAAGTACCTGATCAGTTGAAACCACATAATTTCTAGCTAGCTACTTGGGCGAACCTGTAATTGCAAACCTCAAATTAATTTGCAAATTGTGCATATAATTATACGATTTTGTAGTTTAGAGAAGAATTGAGTACATGTTGGATCTTAAATCACACCATTTGCAGTAAATCACCTTCGAGTAATATGTACGAAGTGGATAAATATTTAGACATAATTCTTAAGGATAATTATTAGTTTCAAGGGAGTTGTCGGCGAGATTCAAAGCATTATTAATCGGATATAAAAGCAAACTGTCTAAATGAGAGTGATACAGTTAGAATTCATGAGTTATTGAATTCCATCCCAGTTCATTGAATGGTCAACGAGTTTAGCCTCGTATTCTGAAGGTCTCGAGTTTGATCCCAGGTGCTGCAGTCGTTAGTGCGCTCCACTGCATAGTCCCAATCTAGGAGAAAACAGCTCTCTAATACCACTTGATTTCCAATGGTTTGTGCGTTTAATTTGTGTGCTATTTGACTGATTTCCTTTCTTCTGAAACCGACCTTATTTTCAAATTTGTTAGAATAGGAAAGGATATATTATGATCCAGTGTTTCGGAAGCTATTTGTAAAACACATGTAACTTCAGGGTAGACTAAAGCTGAGGTCATTTGATGTTTGTTAGTATATGCTGTCCAGTAGAAACATAGTTTTTACATCCTAAAGTTGTAATTTATTGATTATCTAACCAACCGACAGCAACAACAACCAGCACTAATCACCATAATTGGGAGAGATTTAATGGTTACTTCCTTCACTTACCTAGGAAGCAGTGTTTCAGCTACAGGCAACATAATGTTTCGGAATGTGATAGACAGAATCGGAAAGGCAAAAAACGCCTTCATCAACTTGAAACCAGTTTGGAAATCTTCCACACTCAGCATAAAGAACAGCATTCGGATTCGCAACACAATTGTGAAGTCAGTCAGTCACTTCTCCTATAGAAGTCAAGAACTCGGCAAGCGTGTCAGAATGAGCATTTCCAACAGGCTACTTCAGATTTTCATCAATGGCTGCTCCCGTCGCTGGCTCTATACTGAAGATAAGATCAAATGGCCAGTCAGCTAGAAAGAATCAGCAACAAGAAACTATCGCAACAAACTAGCCAAGAACCTATCGTTGAACAGTTATGTAGGAGAAAATAGACATGGATAGGGCACACACCACTGAAGTGCCCGTCGAATAACATCGTGCGCTAGGCCATCTCTCGAGTGGAACCCGAATGGGAAGGGGCGAGTGGATCGGCCGAGAGTGACATGGAAGAGATCGTGCAAGGAGGAGTTGAGTCATTATGGGCAATCGTGGACCCAGCTGAAAAGGACAGCTAAAGATGGAACAAAGTAGAGATGTGTTGTTGAAGCCCTATGTTGCACTCGGAACCGAAAGGACCAATAATAAAATGATAATTCCTATTTATTTTCCCTTTTCCCCTGATCAGTAAATGTTTACCTTCTTAGTCAGCCTTCTGTATTTTCTCAATGTGAGAATAATATTTAGGTTTTTATTAATATTTATTATTGTTCTCTTGGGTTGCGAGTGGAACGTAGGGCTTTAACAACACATCTCAATTTTTTTCTATTTTCTGTTGTCCTCTTTAGCTGTGTCCACGATTGTAATCAGTTGTATACTGTGTGTTATAGTAGCATTAAGAAAAATGGCTTATGTGGTATTATTGCTGTCACGGCAAAATTTAGTAATTCGTCACCAGTGGGTTACAGCCAGTCGGATGTGAGGACAAATACTCGCCGATGACATTGACTAGTGGTGGCGCAATATCGTGAATTGGCAGAAGTTAGAATTCATGTAGTGGCCATTCGATCAGGTCCCAGTGACTTAATGGTCTACGAGCTCGCCTAGTAACCGGAAGGTCCTGGGTTCGAACCCTAGCGACAGTGAGTGACTACTGATAAAGAGTCCGAAGCATTAAGACGAAATAGCTTTCCAATGCTTCTCGCAGGTTTCCCAGGGATGTCAGCTTGTGATGAAATCCTGAAAATTTATTACCATTTCGAATTCCCTAAATTGCTTATTCTCTGTGTTTGTGTTGTATATATTTTGGTTTTATTTTTTTCAGGAGGCACGCAGTAAAGAAAATACGGTTTCCTGCTCAAATAGTGTTTTTCCCGGAGTGACTGTATTAGGTAAAACTATTCAATTCTCGCCGCTGGAGAATTTATCTCCAGATGAATTATTCGACCCGAAATCATTGCTACCTTGTCAATATGAGAAGGCTGGAAATTTAACAAAAGTTTCAAATCTTATAAGTAGTGCGTCGTTTACTGGTCTAGAAAGTGACACAAAGTGCGAAGTACAAAATGAACTGGGATTGACTGTCTCTTTATCAGAAGATCAGGGGAAAACATATAGTATTGTGTCAAGTATTGAGGATAGCAAGGTAAATTCAAAGAACCTCATAATAATGTAATTGTGATATCTTTGCTTATTATTTAGCACTTATTTTATTACTTTGCATTCCGAGTGGAAAATAGGGCTTCAAACTTGAGTTTGACCTTACTACCGGCTAAGCGAGGTTTAGAAGTGCGTCGACCGGGGTTCAAATCCCGAAGAGTGTACGTGGTTGGTGAGCATTCATTCTACTACTGAAACATCGACGCACGTTATCTACCATTAACATGTATAATCACTTGCTTACATGCTTTTGGATAAGAGATTCGATGAAAAGACAACTGACTGGCACTCATCATTAATGGATATTTAATACTCAAAAGAATCTTTGATTTTTCATGGTTTTACTCAGCATTGTAGCCGTCTACATAGTCACTTACTTGTTCCATTCGTGTTAAGGTGCTAGTGTGACATGTCTTATTTAACAGGCTCTTGTCACTGTTACAATGTTTACAGAATGGTTGAAATATCATTTGGATTAGTATAACTCCCTCCGCCCCTATTTGTTTGGTAGTAGGTTCTTGGTTGAGTCCTTTACTGCCAGAGTTCTTTGTTACTAATCCTCTTTGGTTAGTTAGCTGGTCTTCAGCATGAAGTGAAGGCAGCTGTTGATAAAAGTCTGCAGTATCCTGGTAGAAATAGCTTTGATGATGTACTCAAATCTCAGAACCTTATAAAAAAACTGAGTGACTTGACATTAGGGTTAAAAATTTGAACTGTGCTCTTTACTCTTAGTGCAGTGGATTTCGAGACTTATTTCAGACTTTTGAAGGTCTTCTTGTCCATTCTAATCCTGACTTTGATATCTTCATTTGTGCCATCGCCTGTACTTGTTGAAACTATGTCGCCTAGATAAGTGAAAGAAGTGACTTCCTTCAAACTTATCCTGTTGATATTAATAGCTGCTTGTTGTTGACTACCGTTGTATGCCATTGATTCTAATGCGTCGTAGCCTTGCGATGTGATCAACTCATAATTCGCTTTTCCTGAATTCAGCTTGTTCCGGGCGGAGTTTTGCATCCAGAGCATCTTTTATGCTCCTTAGTACCGAGTGTTTTCCCTTTCTCGTAGATTTGATTAAGAAATTCGAGGTTTCTTCCTCCTTTCCTAATCGAGACAGGGCACGCACGCGCTGTATTTCTGACACATTAAAACGCTTCAAGTTGTAGAATTCTTAATACCTTATTTGTCGGCGTGAAACTATTTATACTCGTTTTGCTAACTTTGTGTTGCAGAGGTACTAACTTAACCAGCAAGATAGATCTACAGTATAAAAACTAATTTTGTTTTATGTTGTGGTGCGGGACTATCTGCTTGCACATATATACCAAAGTTAATTTCGTCGATGCAGCGCTTCAAAGCCAAATCTTAGGTTTAAGAAGTAGGTTGTATTGTACTGCAGTGGGTTCGATTGAGGGGTTTTTGAACGTTGTGAGTATTGAATCGATAAAACTCCCAAGCATTATTGACAGATAGTTGATGCTTACTGACCGACTGGTTTCAACATTGAACTTTTTATAGAAGTGCACCAGTTTGAGTGGCCACTCACACTCCATGTACCTTCGAAAGAAAGAGAACAGAGGAAAGGGAGGTTCAAAAGACAGATAATAAAAACAAGCGTGAGGAAAAAAAGATTAGTAACACAGAAGAACGGTGGATTTTTATGAGATATGACAAATCACAGACAGTGAATGTACCTGCGCTAACCATTGAGAACTATTTTGAGCCTCACCACCGATTATCTCTCTCCAGTATTAATTAGTTCTTACCATCCTAAGGATCCCAAAGAGGTGATCAACATTTCCCTACATGGCTTAAATTAACTGTGATGGATTTCACTGACTGATGAAGCTATGTTTTCGTTTGACCCTAGCACCACTAGCTCTTTTCCAACCTGATCCCAGACGCTATATAATACCTTAATTAATGCACACGGTAAACTGTCTCCACCATACTTAAACACCTGGAGTCATTTCATCAGGTCCTGCTGCTTTACCTCATTTCAGATTAGAGACAGCTTTTTTAACTTCAGTTGGTGTTCAGAGGTGTTCGATTCTCCAGTAAGTTGAGCTTGCCTTTAGTCCAGTTAAATTGCTCCTCAAAGTTGATGCTGATGTTGAATGGTTAACTATATTTACTTAGGATGATTAAATTAGTTTATTAGGCTTCAAACTGTGTGGTTTGCCTCAACATACAGTGTTATATGAAAGGAGAGAGTTCAGAAATAAAAATCTCTGGCAGATTATAAACTTTCTGTTTACTTGTTTGAAATCGATATACCTGAATTTAGTGAACTTATGTGCATTAGACACACACACACATATATATATGTGGATTTTTAACTGTCTGCGTTTTTCGTCGATATATATCAGAGATTTTCAAAGGTAACAGAGTTCCGTATAAGTACTGCTTCGTTTGCTACATTTTTTCGCTTGGTATTCTGTTCACTACCTAAATAACTACTCATCATGTTAAATGTGACCAAGTGAAGAAGTAGACTTTTTTGAATATGCTGTTCATCTTTTAATACGGCTTTGTATGATGGAATTTTAATTTTACAATCAAGATATTGTTTCTTCGCATTTTGGTTATTTAATTATTTTTAAAGGTGAATAGTGAAAATGCGAGTTCAAAGGAAGAAGATGCTGTCAACAATAACCAAACAGAAATTATTGAACTTCAGAAAGAATTGACTGTAGTTCGAAAACAGTTGAGAGATCAGGCATGTGAATATGTTTTTAAGTTTTTTTGGTCTTGTGAACAACGTTCAATTGTTGAATGATCCAAGTCCTTTTAGTTATTCGTTTATGTTTCCGTCATTTTTCACGCAAAACCCTACTGAGACACTAGATTAGTTAGTGAATTCTCTAGACCGTATCGTAATATTCCATTTTGTACAAAATAAAATGGTACCATCATTTATTTCGTTGGCTTGTCATCAGCTGCTTACAGCCTAGAGACACTTACTAAGTTTATGACCTTAATCCAGTTGATGAGGACACAAGGAGCTGGTTCAAATCTACGCTGATCGACTTTGCAAATCAGTACCTCGTTTCACCAATGTCATATTCCGAAATCCTTTCTGACGAGCATCAGTGAGCATTGAAATCTTTCAAAAATAATTACAAAATCGTCATACTGTGACCTGACAACGGTTCAAGAGTGGTGGTGATGGAAAGAGATGACTACATTGAAAAGATGAAAACTGTTTTAAATGACCCGGTGAGGTTGGTGAATGCCAGGAAGATACGACAAATGCAGCTGAAGAACGCATCAAAAATGTATTAAGATATTTCCTAAAGAAGAAATTGATTGATAATGACGTTTTTTTAATGATTTCAAACCCCAAAGGGCCTGTTTGCCTTGCATCTGCTGCCTGCCAAAATCACACAAAGAAAAAGCCCTCCACCTGAGAACTATGCTTTCTATCATTGACTCGCCGCAGCTTAAAGTTGCTTGCTGCCTTACAGAGAAGTTGGAAACCATTCGTCAACGATTAGCTTTATACACGATAAAAGATTTATTCCATTTTACCGAAAGCGTGAACCACTTGAACGTTTTAAATAAGTTCGTGACGTCATTTGATGCAACATCCGTGTTCAAAAGGATCCGAATCAATTAAACCGTCGAGATCATTTGTCAGAATTCTTATCTCTTACTCGCAGTGTCGGAATTCAAACGTCTACTGCTAATGTGTACCGTGGATGTGTAATTCCAGTTTGATAACACTCCTCACTGCCAAATAGATGGTGTAGCTGTACTGTTTCAGCAGATATATTCATGTACAACCTTGAAAGAACAAAGTTAAAGTATGCAATTTTGGCGAAACAACTTCTTTTGTTGATATGTCGATGACACATTTGTAGTGTGCAACAATAAAAGACCTGCTTGCTACCCACTCAGATAATTCAACGACTCACATGGAAATATGGAATTCACTATGGAAAATGAAAATAATGGAAAGTTACATTTCCTTGACATTGCCATAAAATTCCTAGAAGATGGTAGTCTCCGGAGGTCACTTTACCGAGAGTCTATATGGAATACACAATCAGTACATTTTAATAGTTTTTGTTCAAATAACTTTAAACGGGCACTAGTCAAGACCCTGTACTTTACAGCTAGGAGAATATACTCTTCAGAGAAATTAGGAGAAGAATTTATGATGCTCGAAGAGATGTTGAAAAACAACGGTTAACCTCAGAGGTTCATTAACAGATATGGAAGGTGTAAAGGCTGTAATGCCAAACAAATCACAGTGGGAAAAAGTCTATCTTCATTCAACCTGATTTTAAAGGTGATAATATTGCAGGAATAATCAATATAAGATTGAATACGCCACTAGCTGGAAACTATCGTGCAGCTAATTTGGTCCTCGTTTATCGGACAGCATGCTCTTTGGTGAAGTCAAAAGTCGACAAATACCCTTCTCATGTTATCTTCAACTGTGTATACAAATGTACATGTATCTTCGGAAATAGCTACATTGGGAGGGCGCAGAAATCAGGGCACACCTTTGAATTTCTGAACATGTACCGAAAAGCTGACATCTCAATGGGGCACATTCTAACGACAGATCCATCGCCAGACATCTAATCAATATTGGGTCATAAGGTGGACGTTGCAAGATTGTTCGAAATTATCAATAGGCGAAAGAATTCAATTCTCGTTGAGTTTGCCGAAGGAATTTCCATCAAGCGCTTGAAACCCGATTTGAGTGTTCAGAAAGAAGCAGTTCTCAGTGTTTCCTTGCTCTCGTAACTGGATGTTTTCATCCTCTCTTTCATTTGATTGCGCAATGCCAAAAATTCCATTGTGTCTGATTACTTTTGTTTAGAATAGAGGGATTGTTATTGTTATCATTACACGTATCCATTGATTTTTTGTTTAAAATGAATTGTCTGTGTATGTTAGAAATGTTCCTGTACATAAATTCTAATAATGTCTTTAGGTTGAAAGCAGCTGATGAGAAGCCAAGGAAATAAATGATAGTACCATTTTATTCCGCAGAAATTGTTGTTCTTCCTTTATTCCAATTCATAATGGGGAAAAATGTCTGATATTACATTCTATGCACATATTCTACACACCCTAATGAAAATGCACTCCCAAATCAACAACAACAACAACAACAAGCAGCAATCACTATGGAAGGGGAAATATGAAGCAAGCCACTTCTTCCACATACGTAGGTGGCGTCGTTTCACCTACAGAGGATGACACAGACGAGGATGGTAAAACCAGTCAAGATCGGAAATCACTGTTGAAAACAGTTGCTCTAAGTAATATAAGCAACGAGATACTCGTTTACAACACGCATGTCAAATCAGTCAGTGTGCTTCTATAGGCTTCAAATACTTGATTGAAACGTTACTAAAAGCTTTTCCAACAGGCTACTATTGACTTTCATGAACAACTGTCTGTTGTCGCTGGTTCGGTACTGAAGATTAAACAACCAGCCAGAAAGGATAATGAACAAGGCAACGAAGCAATCAAAAACCAACTACCCAACATGCGCTTAGCAGAGACCGCTGAGTGACATCATACGCCTTCGAGTGGAACCCAAGTCAGATGTGCGTCCAAGAAAGTTACATGGGGGATATCATGTTAGGAGGAAATGAGAGTTTACAGGTGGCAATCATAGTGCCATCTGATAGGGATTGCTGACAGTCGAGTGATATGGATATGTCTTGCTGAAGCTGTGTTTACCACTTAGAACTTAAAGAAATAACCGTGATAATAATAATGAAAATGTACCAAATATTTTAAAAAATAAATTAATGTTAGGGTTTCATTACAAAAGGTGCCTGAGTTGTATTTCACTGACAACATTGTGTGAAGCAGCTGATTATTTTTCAGTAGGAGTATTTAATCGATCTAGTCTCTTGGGTTTACCTCATTTCAGCTTGGATCGTATGTTACTAATGGAATAGGAATTTATTGCATCACTTATTTGAAATTAACATAACTTTATCTCTTTGCATAATTGTCATTTTAGTTTGATTGGAAAGTAGTTTTATCATCTTGTCTTCTCTTCATTTGTTTTTCTGGAAAATAAATTTCATTCATAATATAACACGTAACTTGTTCTTTTATAGATACGGGCAATGTCAGAACTGAAAGCTGAATACGATATGTTAACTTTGAATACACATCTAGGATCAGTGATTTCAGATAATGTTACTTCTGTCACTAAAGGTGTCAGCATTGATTCACAAACTTCATCTATCATTGGATCTGTTGGTGATGATTTGCCTACAGTTAGTACACCTCCACATAATCTTGGCTCACCAGTTTTCCCAGAAACACTGGAGAGTAGTAGTCACGATGATGGTAAGTAATGTATGCACGTACGTATAAAAGTACATATTTTCTTTTATTTGGTTGATGATCACTAGAGGTGGAGTATAGGATTCTCATTTCGTCTTATTTTAGAATCGTCACCTGTATTTAACTGTAACCTTTAGTGAGTGATAGTGTTCCTACTGAGACTGTAACCTAGTGCTCTTTGTTTTGAACATCATCCGTCTCATTGGTGACTGCAGATAACTAGTTGCATATAGAATGAGATGCTCATTTTGGATTTCATAGCTAATCACTGTCCACTAACTTAATTCAAGTTAATTCTCAGATGTCATCGAAGCGTCCGTTTTAGGAATCGATATTTCAACAGAGACCGACCCATTTCGGTCTAATTCAATAAACCAACGGCAAATACAAAATTAAACAAACATATATTTCCTCTTGGTGAATTTATTCCTCTCTGTGTTGTATATGCTTTACAGTGTAATAAAAAATTACATATCCTTAACTTTCGTGATTGCTAGGGTAATATGTATGCATGAGTGTTAGTAACAGCTGTGGTGAACAAATAGAAACTGCAAAATGTAAACGATTAAGTTTGAGGATAGAAATTCTGGTCAAAAAATCATCTACTCATAAGTAGCATAGTGACTAGGTTGAAAATAGTGCTGTGGACTTTCGTTGAATTATTTGGTATCTACACAAGTAATTTTGTGTTAGTTTGTTATTGTTATCTTATCTTACGGTCTATAAGTTAAGCAGGTGCGCGTTATCTCGCCAGAATTTCTATCATGTTAAGTACAGTTGTCACTTATATCCGTCTTATATAGGTATAAACGCCTCAACCGCCATTTCTTATTGGAGTACCATTCGGGTGATGGCTTGATACATGATGTTACCCATCAGTTTCCTCAGAGTTTGTTCGATCCATCTGCATTTTCCTCGGCATATTTGCTAAGCAACCGGTTTTTGGTTGGCTCGTTGCCACAGCTTCTTGTTACTAATTCTTCCTGACTGGTCATCTGATCTTCAGTACACGGAGCCGACGAAGGCGGCAGCTGTTGATGAAAGTTTGCAGTAGTCTGGTGGAAATGCTTCTCGTTACATCAACGGCAAGTACTTGACCCGTATAGAAGAACGAACGTAATATTATTGCTGGAAGTCTGAATGTTGTCCTGTGTGCTGAGTTCAGAAGGTTTCTAGACTGATTTCAGATTGATGAATGTTTGCATTGTTTTTCGGATCCTCATTTTGACAACCTCATTTGTATCATCACCCGTAGTAGAAATGATGCTGCCTTAATACGTGTAGGATGTGACCGCTTCTAAATTTATCTCCTTTTGATAGTGATTGGTGCCTGCTGTTGTTGGCTGCTGTGTATCTTCATCACCTCTATGCTCAATTGAAATCCCGATATTATTGTTTATCACTTCCACCAACTTGTTAGGTTTTTTTCCTGTAATTCTTCGAGTTTACTTGACATTAGACACAAATCATTCTCGGAATCTAGGTCTTCTCGAATCTTCTTATCAGTTATACATATACCTGTCATAAATTATATAGAGATCTAATCATGTGTTGCATATGTTCTTTTGAGAGTTGTAGGTGTAACAACAGAAGACTAGGTCCAGGCAACAGATCGTTTTTTGAGGAAATCAACAGATATCTATAGACTTTTATATAGATTATTATTCGTTATTATTAGCAGAGAAACAGCGTCTTCTGATATGTCATTTTCTCATTGGACGTTATTCTGTCATCTCTTTGTGGCCGTTTCTTTGAAAGTCAGATCATATGTCTGCTACTTTTATCCACCCACACAAAGTCTTTGTACTTGTTTTTCTCATCACCAAGATTTGGGAAGTAAACATTGATGTATATTGCTGTCTACCAATTTTGGCTAGCAGACAGCTCTCACCACATAGGTATCAAAAGATAACAGTTATTGATGAAATGTGTCTTCTTTCGATTTCTAACATTGAATTGGACGAAATCATAGACTATAATGTGGTTATGTGAAGATTATTGAGTGAAGTAGGCAAGTCACTCTCTGATTTCGTAATTGTCCATCTTATAAGGATAATGAGACATGTGTTGGGTATCCCTAATCCATCGAATTTTTCGATCAAATCAAATGGAGGTGAACTACTGTTTTTGTAAGGAGTTAAAGTTGGTCAGAACAAACTATAGCACCGATTCATGAAGTCACTGCGTGTTGGTCTGAGTTGTGTAGTTAGATGTAGATTTGCTGGCTGGACCAATGTCCTCCAGCTGCTTGTTACTCAGTGCTTGAAGTCATTTGATGTTGTGACACGAAATCGTTCACAATGACGTAGATACACCGTTTTCTTGTTATTGTTCAGATTCTAAACATCTTCACAATTATTCCCTTGTTTGTCCATTTCTCTGTCGTAATTTTTGCAATTTCTTATTTTATCCACCGAAAAATTTAAATTGCTATATTTCCGCGTTGACTCATCAGTCTACTTTAACGTCTGTACAAATTTCACTTCGCAATGTATTACTCCGACGATAAGTTTCTTAACGTTATTTTTCTAACATTTTTCTCTGACGATATCCTAGATGATCAGTTGATATTTGGACAGCTGTCTTATATATACAGGAGGATAGTGTAGATGAATATAGACCTTAACGCGGTGGTCAGCCAGTGAAAATTACTGAAATCTTTTCACTTGCATCTCAAGTTGGAAGAAGTCATGCTTGGAAATACAGATATTTCTTCGACACTTATTTGAGATTATAGGTTTGATCACTACCTGACATCAGTTAGAGGAACATTGGAAAACCAGGAAGTAATGGATAGTCGTTTCACCCAGTTTGGCCGTCTTCAACGTTACTCACCTGCACAGGGTTTTCGAACCCAGGATCTAAGCTTTTTAGGATGTAGCCTTCATTCATGGGAGCCTCAAATAATGCTTGTATAGAATCTTTTATCAATTTAATTGTGAAATTTCATTTTATGTGAAGTGAGCAACTACATTGTTTTATTGACACTTGACAATAATAACGACATTATTATCTTTCTCTCTCTCTTTCTCTTCAGCCAGTAAATTCTTGAATACATGCGATTTAACCAATTCAAATAATTCAGCATCGTCACACATTGAAAATGTAACTCCAGCCATAATAAGCAAGAAACATGTACAGGAAAATGGATTAAGTAATAAAAAACAATCTTCTGCCTACCCGAAGGTATACATATTATTAAATACTAGTTATAATCATTTATGCAATAATCTATAGCATTAATTTTCATGGAGCTGTCATTTTATTTGGTCTAGTCGCTCAACCTGCAATCAGTAGGTCACAGGTTTCTGTAACTCTGCTCCACCTACAGTGGTTTGAGCAACCAGTCATTCAAGTAGAATCAGTAGCCTTTACGTGATAGGTGTTTCACATCGCCAACTGCATGGAATAGCAGTTAATTGTTGAGTATTTCATTCACAACATTTCCAGGAGTGAATTTTCGAGCTTAGAACTGTGCACAAAAGTAAAGTGGTTGAAGTTGTCATACTTCATAAAAGCATGGATAAAAGTAAGAAAAAGTACTACAAAGTAACCCCAATAAAAGAAAATATTCAGGATAAAGAATAATACAGATTTAGTTTATCCGAAAGTAAATATATCGGCATCATTGAGAAATATACTTTTAACCGTATTACCAACAATCTTTAGCCATTGACTCTTATCACCGTTGAGAAAACGTGTATATGTCGTTCGTGTAGTGATAATAATAATAATAATAATAATAAATTGACTTTAGATAATGGTGCTGATAAAGAATAATTTTCAATAAATCAGGAATAATAATGATAAGAGGTAGAACAAAATATGAATAATAATAATAACAGTTAATAAGTGAAACATATTACTTTGGTAAATTTAGAGTTGCCACCATTTCTTGTGTAAACAGAGACAGCTGTCTTATAAACTTCAGTTGTACTAGCCTCCTCAGTTATTTATTTGCAGACAATAGTGAATCACTTGGCAGCGTAAATATCATTTCCGTAGTCCAGAAAATGCTTTGATATTGAAGTCATAGGTACTTTGACATCAGCTGCGTTCAACCACTTTGGCGATCGCTCCGTCATATGAATAGACGATAACCTTTCCGTACGACCTATATATTTACTTCCACAAACACTCAAATTGGTGTACGCAGTTTGAATGGTCATGGATTGGGGCGACTAGTCTTTCCTAGATTGTTGAAGCACCCTCTTGGTGCTGTTGAGGAACACGAGTTTTTTAATAATAATAATAATAATAATAATAATAATAATTTGCTTTATTCCAGAAACAGTACAGTGGTACAGTGTGGAATTTTCAGCACATATCTACAATATTTGCATCTAATTTTACCGACATTTAAAATAAGTATTAAACAAACAAAAAAAAAGTAAATCTGAAGACACCAACAGCAAAACAAAAAAAAAACCAAAAAAAAGAAAAAACAGGATAAACACAAAATAATTATGAATGCGAAAAAGTACCAAAGTCTGCCAAGGTCTAATGCAGTGTTTGTGGTGGTAGTGTGAGTAATCCTGAATAGTACAAAATTTTTTTGAGGTGGTGACTATGGCATTCACAAACAATGATTGTCAGTTTAATATTGCCGAAAAGTATAGAAAATAAGAAAAGCAACCACAAAACTAATAATTACATGATGGTTAATGACACGACAATTTTGTAATACTCATAGTGCTAATATAGTCGGAACCAGTGATACACAATAGAAGGAATATAGTAAAGTACAAAAAAGGAAGCCAATGTTAATATTTCAGGTAGCTAAGTAGTTTGAAGAAGGAGTTCACTAAAGAATACGAAATAAGAGAGAAATAAAAGAGTATGAAATTATGTTGTTAATAACAAAGCAAGTCACAGGTTTCACGCCTAACATTGTCTCTGTCGCTTAGAACACGGGCCAAGTATGGTATCGTTGAGTTCCTGTACTTGGTTGTACGAGCATAGATTATTTTATACTGATTTCTGGTTTTACTAGATGAGATACAAGGAGAGAGTTGGGAATAGAGGGGGTGTTGGGGGTCTGAGAGTATGGTTTTGGACCATTTTTCACATGTATTCAGATGCCTATCAACTAAAGTAGTCACGAGCTGACTGAGATTAACACCACTAGTCCTACTAACTACTGTCAACATCCTTCTCAGGATGGAATAGTCCTTTTTCAGTAAACCAGGAAAGACTAGCGGGGAGCAGTAAAGTAGAATAGGTAGGATACAAGAGTTGACAAATTGTGAAAGTAGAGGTTTGGTGATTCCGGATTGTCTAAGTTTCTTAATGTAGTAGGTAAGACAGAACACTCTCCTAGAAATCATTAGGATATGAGATGTCCAAGTAAGGTCAGAAGATAGAACTAGACCGAGGTATTTAGCATTAGACTTAGTTTCAATTTTAGTCCCCTCAATGCAACAGTCTTCATGAGAACTTACTAGTGTTTGTAGATCTCGTTTATGCCTAAGGGAGAAGTCGACAGTCTGGCATTTTGAGGGATTCAGCATGAGACCATTTAGTTTGGACCACTCACTGATATCCGACAGGAAGCTATTTAATTTGAGACAGTCTGACTGAGACTTAATGGAAAACGATACAGACAGGTCATCTGCATATTTGACGAAGTTGACTTCATCTGAGAGAGGTAAATCATGTAAGAAGAAGGAAAAGAGAAACGGAGAAAGAACAGCACCCTGAGGAACTCCAGCTTCAGTAAGCAATGGAGAGGAAGATGCACCTTTATATACCGTGTACTGCATCCTATTAGAGAAGTAAGAGTGCAGCCAGTTGATAACCCAGGGTTCAGTTTGTGCTAGGCTAAGCTTGTTTAACAATAGGCCTCTAGGTACAGAGTCGAAAGCAGATGTATAGTCAAGGAACGTACAACGGACAAACTTGGCCCCTTTGTCTAAGGAGGATACAATGTTGTGATGAAACACAGCAGCAGCGTCCAAAGTACTTTTACCCTGTTTGTAAGCAAACTGCTTTGGATCGTTTGAGAAGCTTAGAGAGGGAACAAGTTTTAGTAACAATAGTTTCTCCATTAGTTTCAAAAAAGGAGAGGTTATAGCGATAGGTCTGAACTTAGCATTATTACCAGAGCCAGACTTAGGTACAGGGATGATTTTAATATCTTTCCACAGAGAAGGTACAACATTATTAGAAAAAGAAGTATTAAAAATGTTTGTAAGTGGGTTGCTTAAAATATCAGCACATTTCCTAAGGACAATGGCAGGTATACCATCAGGACCTAGACTCTGGGAAGGTTTAAGAGATTTTAAACATTTAAGAACATCAGAAGTTTTAAAACTATTAAAGTCACTGGTCATGTTATTTGTTACATTGAAGCTAGAAGGTACATTGGGAAGGCGGATAAAAGATCTATTTAGAGTATTTACATCAATAGAGGGAGAACAAGAACTATGCTTACCACAACCTGTAATTTCTTTGAAAAGCTTCCACATGTTCCCAGGAGTTTTACATGACAAAATTCTTTGATTATAAATATTGTTTAACCTCTTGATTTCGGATTTGATTTGGATGTTTATTCTCCTAAGACCAGCTTTATCCTTAGCCTTGTACAGTCTCTCTTTTTCTCTTCGAAGCTTTTTGAGATGAGGAGAAGAGAAACGATCTATTCTTTTGAAAAGTATCTGTTTAGGGCAGCATACATCAAGGCAGAATTTAAGATAGTCAGTCAGATTGGAAATAGTATCATCCAGAGTGTGTTCAGTGAAAAGTTCCCAGTTTGTGTCATTTAGCATATATCTTAGTTTGAGCACGTTTTCTTGTGAGTAACATCTTTGTTGTGTTTTCCTGGAGAGATTCGAGAGGATATTAGAGTGATATCTGCTATATATCTTGGGTAATATCCGAATAATACAATGATCAGAGTTCATTATAGGAGCACGTCTGCGTGCTTCATATATTTCCGCATCATTAGTAAATACTAGATCCAGAGTTTTATCAAGTCGAGTTGGAAATTTGACAATGTTGACATGACCTAATGATTCAAGAAAAGAACAGTCACAGGTATTGAAATCTCCAGTGACAACTGATAAAGAGTTTTCAAGATGTGTAACCGCGAATGCTGTGAATTCATCGGCAAAATGAGATAGATCCGAGGCGGAACATCCAGGAGTAACATAAATGTTTGAGATGAAGACGTATTTAAACTTGGATAGGTGTTTCGGACGACATTTGACTGTAATACAATCAATAAAGTCACTAGAGAAAGAAAAACATACATTATTTGAAGTTGACCACTGAGAATGAATGAAGGTTGCGACTCCACCACCTCTTTTCTTTCTAGAGCATATTCGATCTTGTCTAAACAATGTGAAACCATTTAGAGAAACCAGGTTGTCGTCATAAAGATCATGGAGCCATGTTTCTTGTAATGTGACTATCGCCGTATTGTGATAAGTATCAGATGATAAGAGAGACTGGAGATGCATAATTTTGTTGGGAAGTGAACGGCAGTTTGAACTGACAATAACAGGAATAGTTGTGCGATATAATGGTGTCCGTTTGAGAGCGCGTTGCCAACCACCATGATGTTTTCTCTTAGTTTTATTAGATGCATGAAAGTCATATGGTTTAAAACATTTAATGAATTCATTACTGTATTTGATACGATTTGTGACCATATTTTGTTAAAATTAAAAATGGAAACATGATGTATTAGATGCAAATATGTAGATGTACAGAAAGGTAGCCCAGATGTCAAACAGGCCGCCAAGGATTATGCAGCATAATAAGTTCTCTTAGTAGCCTTATCAAGTCTTCGTTTGACTACTTCTTGAACATCATCTTTACATGGCAAGTTGTTATATGCAACCTCTTTTGAAAGTGTTTGAAAATTTTTACTGGGGCTCATTTCTTTGAAGTATTTATCAATGAACCTCTTATGATATCCATTCTCAGACAAAATATCCTTCAGGATCTTTATTTCATATACAATTCTGCTGTCATAACAGATTTTGCGTACTCTGTTAAACAGTGTTCTGACTAAGTTATTTTTTATACTGGGTTGGAACAAAACTTTCAAAATGCATATACTGTCCTGGGGCGACGAAGGCTATCTAAATATAGATTTTTCCATTGTTCCATTTCACTAGAGAGACTTCTATGAGTTCAGTAGTATCATTTTTCTTGTGCTTTCTTGCGAAGTTCAGATTAGGATAGCATCCTTTATGTTTCATATTCTTTTTGCTTTGTTAGCTATTAGTTGGCTTCATGCTCTGTGAGAATAGTAGTGAAAGTCAAAAATTTTTGCAGGGTGGAAGAAGTTTTTTCCGGGGAATATATATATATATATATATATATAGTTTGTTTACATTAAGTCAGAATTTTGAGTAACAGATGTCCACTAATATTTTAAACTTCTACTTCTGTCTCCACTTGTTGAGTATGGAGTGCATGAGGCTTCATAAGTAAAGACATCTCTTTCTCTTAATATACTTCTTTGGCTGTCGAAATACACATTACATACGGTGGTGGCGTCAAGCTAATCGATGATGGATTGAATTCCTTATCGTCACAGTTGGCCGAAGAAACGTTATTTGTATCGTGTAATTAAATACTGAAGGTTAAACTCTGTGGATATGTTTTTGAACTTTGGTATCCTTGAATAGTTTTTGTTCAACTATTGAACATTTTTAAAGAGTAAAGAAACGTAATGTATTCACTGGAAGTTCACCAATTTCTCATCTGCCAGCTAAGTAATATGGAGGTTGGGTGTAAAGTAATTAGACAAGGAGTGGGGGTAAGTCAATTATTCAGGTCGTGAAGCGTTGTCATCCATTAATAAAGCTAGGCCAAGCTATCGCCTTCCTTAACGGGCAACATTAGTCGATATAGAATTAGATTACAAAAGAGTTAAGGTTAATTCGAAACCTGGAATCAATTCGTAAGGGTTTGGTAAGTCTGTTCTGGTCGATTGCGAGGTGGAGCACCTTGGGTATCTAAGATCCAATGTCTGGAGACTGTTGGTGACTCGGCTCAGTGGGACAGATACATACATTCTTTGAGATTTCTGTTATACAAGCAACCCTATAAAATATTAATTATCACATTAGTGTGCATGTTTTGTTGACTTGTTTTCGAAATGATGTTTAATCGGCTGTATTAAAAACACCGAGTGTGTTATATTTCTTTATATTTTTGTTTTATCTTTTAATAATACTTTGATATGCATATGCAGGACATCGTTTGCTGAGAAAATTGGCATCTTTGTATCCTGTGTATCTTCCTGATGATTTACTGCAGTGTTTTTGTATTTGTAGTTAATGATTTCTGAATTGCTCAATCCTATTACTGTCATTCCTGAAGAACAAGAAACACATGAAGAAGACGAGGAAGATAAGGAAAAATCGCAAGTGGATGTGTTCACTCCTGAACACACTAGTTCAATGAATGTATCAAATGAACCTCAGTCTTTATCTCGATTACGTAATCTCTATGATATTGTACATGGTTTAAAAGTCAGATTAGACAGTGTTCGTTTCACGCAGGTAAATCTTTGGTTATATTATAACTATCAGTCTTTTGGATTCCGACTGGAACATAGGGTTTCAGCATGTTGTCTCCAATTTTTCCGTTCTCTGCAGTCCTCCTTAGCTGGCGAGACGACTTTCCAATAAGCTTTCATCTTCTCCTCACACAACCTATCCTATGTCACTCTCCAGCACGCCCCCAAATTGTCATTTCCCACTTGAGCGATGCCGTGGTGTGATGTCACCCAATTGTCTTCTCAGTGTGTGTCTGAACCATCGCCATTTCCTTTTTCACATTTCTTCGACAATAGGTTTTTGATTGCTTCGTTCCCAAAGTTTCTTGTTACTAATTCTTTCTGTCCTACCATCTGATCTTCAACACGGAGCTAACGAAAACAGCTGTTGATGTGGGTCTATTGAATAGCCTTTTGGAAATGCTTTTCGTGACGTTGTGGCCAAGTGTCTGACCCAAATAGACGAACTCACTGAGTGACTTAACATTGGTGTTGAAAATCTGAATTTCGTTGTTTATTCGATTGATGAAGATCTGTCTTGCCTTTCCGATTTCAGTTTCGGAATCTCCATCCGAGTTGTTGTCTGTAGTGTAAACGATGCTGCCCAAATAAGTAAAGGAGGAGACCCCTTTCAAATTTCCCCTGTTGATAGTAGCTGGTCATCAGACATCTTAATCACCCCTGTTTTCTCGGTGTTCATCTGCAGTCCTGTCTTTGGTGCGTCTTTTGTCAACTTCTTTGTTTTCCCCTGTTAGTCTTGGAGGTCGTGGGACGTCTGACATAAATCGGTCGCAAAGTCCTGGTCTTCTTAATTCTACTTCTTACACTTCTATGAGTTCTGAGTTTCTGTTAAAAGTTTAAAAATATGGTGATATATCAAAGCATCCCTATAAACAGTTAGAAAGTTGATAGGAATAATTGCTCAGCTGTGAGAAAATGTGTGAGACACAAGGCCTCTTTTGGTCGATTTTTGAAACAATTTTTTTTCAAGCACTCTGTTACAGGATCAGTTTTCTAAATAATTAGGTTTTCATGTTGGAATTCATTGTATCAGTATGGTTCTTTCTTTACATTATTGTAAACTTTGTTTCTGTTGAACATAAGTGAATTTTTTCTATATTATGTCAATGTATTCTTACTTTGTTTCACTGAATTTCAGCACTCATTTGTTGAGATGATCAATCGTAGTTTATCCACCGCAGGCATTGATGCGTCTATACGTTTGTCTCCTGTTCAAGATAAAGTTGATAACCATGTAAATCTCAATTCCTCAGAAGTAAATAATGAAGAATGTCATGACAAGGTATCTTCACAGCCCAGCGGAGTTCATCAAAGTGTAGAAGTAGTAGTAGACAGGTGTTCTGTGGATCCTGCTGACTCACAAGTTAAAGAACTTCATGATGAATCTGGCTTAAATCAGACTGTAGCGGAATTATGGGGAGGGTGCCCTAAGTCACCTGTTCGTTGTCACCGTGAAGGAGAAATTACACGTCTCAATAAGAAATTCAATAAACCACTAGTTCAAAAAGCTGTCAATAAAATCAAAGGATTATCATTGAAGCCAAAAATGAGTTGTGTACCACACGTTAAAAATAAAGATAAAAATCTTATTGGTTCCACAACTTTTTGTGCCGAAGATATTGATAATTCCTTACAAGACTCAATGTTTTCCAAAGCTTTAAGTTGCAGTCTCGATGTTGGTAAGAATAGTGGTGATACATTGATGACTAGACGTGTTGGAGATTTGGCGGCTGTTGGAGAATTAACCATTGTAGAGTTGGAGCATCGAGATATATTTGAACGTCTGGCTTGTGCAGTGAGTTCTGTTTATGGTATAAATTATTAGCTTTTTTTCAATCAATATACCCATCCATTTCTTAGTCTGATAAAACCTTTGAAGATTAAGATGTCCCAAAAATCACATGCAAATTCTATCTTGACAATTATTCCTTCAGTTAAATTTGGCGGGCAACCGTCTTGTAGGGGGAGAGTGTTTGTTAGTACATGTTGTGCCGGTTTCTTAGTGTAGTATGTATTATTCAAAAGTTCCACATTTCGTCTTAATGGAAGTGTAGGTTGAACTGATATCAACGAAATCAGCTCACTTTCAGTAACACAGAAGTCTTGATCTCCAATGAAAATTTAGGTGAACTGTGCTCAATTTATACCCACTCCCCGCTTCTTCAACATACACATCTGTTTTCTTGGATGAGAACATTTGTCAGTGGCTTCTGCTGGTAGTAACGGTAGCTCCTTTTCTGGTTTTATCAATGGTTCTCCAATTGATATCATTCCGTGATTTATCTTGAAACGAATCAAATCCTTGCAATTCAGCACTTGAGAGTTAATCAATGCTCACTAAAGACTGACTACAGGACGAAGTTGTCTGGGGTTCTGGTTGAAAGTCGTGACTAGTGGGTTACACTTTGTCAACCGTGAGGACAAATACTCGCCGATGATATTGGATGATAGCTCCTGCGCTATATATCGCGAATCGGTAAAAGCTAGAATTCATGGTTGATGGGCCTTGGTCCCGTAATCTGAAGGTCCGGGATTCTATCCCTATCGGTGTTGTCGTGGTTGCGTACAACCGAGGAGTTCCAAATAAGGACCGTACAACACTCCCTAGTTTTCAGTGGCTATCTAACTGATATCAGTGCGTCATCTAACTCGAAGTGATCATCTACACTTTTTTTAATCGATGGTTTCGCTCATTATGGCCGTTTATCTACTTCGACTGACTACTTATAAGAAATCAGTTTCACCTTGATTTACAGGGTGTGTTAATTCTATTACAAGGAAGGCTTCCAGGTAGCTAGTAATTGCATGTTTGTGTTCTAAGCTTATGTGAATGGTTGTCTAGCCAGCTTTTCATCATTTGAAATTGCTGAGTTTAGCTTCAAGAACTATGCTTTTAGCACAATAGCTGACTTGAACGGTAAACGTTTAGTTTGCTTTAGCCGTTGTGTAGTAAACCAATTACTATATTCGAATAAGATTAATATTTCAAGGGCTGTATATATCAAACGGTCGAAGTTAGTAATACCTCGTTGTTTTACTCTCTGCTTTTACTGTCTCGCAATTTCGTGTCTCGTTCACCCATGCTCACTATGTGATCCGTAATCTGACACTGAAAATCTCACGATAGTGAGTGTCATAGTCTATTCTGTCTGTTTTGTCTGTGTAACTAGTTGAATATTTTTATATGTTTATAGATGGCTAAGTTGAGGGATGCTATTGATGAGTGTTCAGATGTCAGTTCCGCCTTTTGGGATGTTGATATCAAAAAGAATCTGTCAGCTTTATTGACGACCAGTCGCGCTGATGCTTCACAGATCTATTCAACTCAAGATCAGAATCAGTCATTTGATATCAAGGATAATAGAGTATCAAAAGATACCAGTAATATTGCAAACTTTGTACAAACACACAATTCATCTCAAATTACTAATGTCAGTGCCAATTTCGATGATGCTATTGTGACGCCTGATTATGATTCTGTCGATTTCTTTGCGCATAATGGAAATGAAATTAAATCGAATCAATTGTATGGATCTGTTTGGCATGATTCACAGTAAGTTTATTCGTTTTTGCTTCTTTTTATGCATTCACTTATAATAGTGTTTATTCAGTCATTTACGTTTTCGTTATTCACTCAGAATAATAATAATAATAATATCTGAACTAAATTGAGTTACGCATCGGTTCGGTTCAAGTCAGCACATATAGACACCGATAAATATCAACGCCACTACTCGTTCTCACGGTTTCGTCCAGTTAGACATGAAATGGATCACTCCACCTGACTGGGGGGATTTTCTGCTCTTGAGCACATGGTTATCCCTACATCATCAATTCCATGAGACCCAGGCAAATGATTTGCTGACTTCAGTAGGACGAATTTTGTAGACTGACCATTTTGGTCAGGTGCGGTTTAATTGAGTATCCTTACTTGTTTACGCATCCCAAGAATACAACATACATCCGAATTCTGAGATGGAAGATATTTGGCTAGTGGCGCATTTCCAGTGAATTTAGAATTCAGTTCAAATGTTGAGAGCTGCAGTGTGGAGTCAGGAGTGTACTTCTAAGTAAATAAATTTCATTTTACTTTGAATCAATTTGTCAGTGTGTGTCATAGAGTTAGAAGGAAACAACGGATTACTAGTATGAGGAAAGTAAGGAGAAGGTGAGTGATGAACAACGAAACTTCATAGGCAGATGAAATTCTTTGGGCGGTCTCTACTTCCCGGCTGCCTACACTGCAGAAGTTGATAACTTGTTACAGTACCTGAAACCAAAAAAGCATAAGTATTGTGTTGACCACAGAGCCCAAGGGACAGTTGTTTGATGCTCACCACACACAGCTAATTTGGAGGTGGAGTTTTGAACACAGCCATGCGGTAATTCAATATGTGCAGTATTCAAAATCAACCTTTTCTGGTGCCTCCTCTGCCTAGTAGGAATTCTGTATAACTGTTGTGCTGACCAACAGCACGACTTCACCGTCAAACCCTTGACATGTTCTTAAAATCCCGAACTTTCGTGGTGACTAATTTCTGTCTAACCTCTCTCTAATCGATGTTCCTGGCATGATATGTCCTGTTGGGACGTTTGTTCCAACGAATACAGATCTTGACTACTATGTCAAGATAGCAGTCACAGGTAGTGTGCAATAATAACGTGATAAGTCAAATCAGGAAGGGTGGTCTTATATTATCATCTTGGAGTTCTCTTCCCCGTCATACCTCTATCGCCATTACACCTAACACTTTTATAAATAAAATAAAAATTATGTCAAATAATAATTTTATGGTTATCGTCGTTTATGTTTTCTCACATATTCAGATTTTTCGAATTAATTCACATTTGTCTATTTAATTCTTTAAAGTAATTTTCGGTATTTTGGTTTTGATAATTTGTACTTCTCCTTGACAAATGAAACTTAGAAAAGGTTCTAATCAATCGGATGAATATTGCAAACAGTTAGAGAGAAAATTATGCGATATGAGAAGAGAACGTGAACAGTTGGCAATCAAACTAAAAGAAGCAACGGAAAAGTTGAAATGCGTACAAGAGGAGAACCACAGTTTAGAAGTAAGATTTTCACACTTGTTTTTATATTTATTCACGTTTTATGTTGTCATCCATTTAACCTTTTAACAATGAATTTTCTAATGATTTGTATAGTAGGATAAATGACTGTTGTTGAAATGTCTTTGTTGAAATGAACGATTTGATTGCGAAGCTGTCGTTATCCTTTTAGATACCATCTTCGACGTAAGCTTTCATATGAAGCGAATTTATTTGAATTCTTCAGGAATAATATTATTGTATCTCCTGTCAACGTTTTTCATGATTGGAGAATTCAGTTAAGTGGACTTCATGTTGACGCCTACACTGAAGATGTTGTGTAGAAGGAGGATGAATGCTTCGCAAGACAAGCTCATAGACCACTCAACGACTGAGAACTGTGGTTCAATGTGCAGCCCATGAAATCTGACTTCTACTAATTTGTGATTGCGTAGTGCTTCTGGCACACCAGCCAGTATTGTAGGTGGGTATTTTTCTTTACTGGTCACAGCGTCTCACTAGAACTCCAAGCAAATTCACCTTGTAGCCGGTCACTAACGAGGATCAGATTAATTTTCAAGAATTAGCTTGTGTTTACTCTTATTTTTTAACACCTACTCTATTACACCTTAGTTTGTAGGTGGGAATGCATTACAATAGTAAACAGAGATTTCATTCAAAAATTTATGAATACACATTTGGCGAATAAGTGTAAATAATGAAAATAATATAAATGATAAGGGACCTAAAGGTGTCGATAATATGTCATATAAAGAAGGAACATCAAAAGCTCTACATGGGATGCTTAGTAAGGCTGGAATTAGGGTGGCATTTAAACCAAACAACAAACAAAGTTACTTAGAGACAAACTGTTGATTTATAGATTCGATAAATCCAATTAGGGGAATAATAAAACCCTGTAATTACCATCAGTGGGGTCAATTAAATAGGTTAAACTAATACCCCATGGTCAACGAGATTATTGCAGCACAGGAATTCAACTAGAGCTAGAATGACTAACGCTGCTCAGTTAAATAATCTGGAAAAAATGACTAGTCATTTCATTGCATTTAGTTAAAATGTTAATAAGTAGATATAGTTAGTTAAGTGGAGATAAAGGTAGGATATATATATATATATATATATATATATATCATCCTTGTTGATCGAAACAACTCCAAACACTTTCAATCGAAAGGATGCAGTGTGTTTACCAGATTTATGGCGATTTACAGTGAAACACTTTCCAATTACAATGAAGAGTATCAGTTTCAAAGTTTAATAGCCATTAAATATGTTTTCATCTATATGAACAGTGGAGAATTCTTCTGTTTATTTATTTACAGAAAAAAAATGTGATTAATAATTGTAAAACATCCTAACTTCTCAAACCAACACTAGAGACTGGCACTATGCAGTCAGTGAGAATTCGTAAACAGTGTGAGTACCGCTGGTCGAATGTCAAGACAAATACCCGTCACGGATGACATTAGGTAGTGGTCGCGCTATGGTTTGAATTGGAAGATATTGAAATTCATGCACTAGCCATTGGATAAGGTCCCAATGACTGAATGCCTTGTAACCTGTAGTTAGTCCTGTTTTGACACCCTGCCGATGGGTGCATACTGACGATGAGTCTCGGAGGAGTGGGACGAAGCACATCTGCAGTACTCCCTGCTGGCTTTCCAATGCCTCTCTAATCGATGTCAGTCCATTTTAAAATCGTGACACCGTAACCACAATCCTAACCCCAACTCGCTATCAACTCATTGTCCAAATAGTACTTAAAAACGAGATCAGAATGAAATTTGAACATCGGTTCATGCCTAGCGTTCATATTAGCGCTGTAACAACTCAAGTAGTTCTGTAATCCAATGAGTGGTACGCTTTCAAATTCATTGGTGCGTCCACATTCCGCAGTCACTTAGGTTGGTCGGAAACTGATTGACTGGTTTCAACGTAGAACTTTGACCAGATGTGCACCACTTCGAGTTGCCACTCTCACTCCATGCACCACACAAAGCAAGAGTAGAGAGTAAAGAGACATTCAAAAGAGAGATAATAAACACAAGTGTGAGTGACGGAAAAATAATAGTAATATGGAAGAACAATAGAGTTTTATTGGATATGACAAATCACAAAGAGTGAATGTGTCTGCGTTATAGATTGACAACGATTTTGAGCCATAACATCAATTTTCTCCAACCGTCATTCATCGGGTTTTACCGTCTCGAGGACCTCAACCAGACAGTAGTCTACGCCTCCCAATGTATCTGGCTTAAACTAACTGCCAAGGATTTCATTGACTGATCAAGCCATGTTTTCGATTGACCACCACCACTAGCTCTTTTCCAACCTAATCCAGCCTATGCCAGTTAACATTCTGCGTTGAGGAAGACTATCAATGGCTAGGTATGCGTAACACATCTCTTAACTATCTCAATCGGTGTAAGGCCGGAAAGCGCATCTAGATATTAATGCCTTATCTTTGTGTGTATTATCAAATAAAGTTATCTAAGATGGCATTATATTCTACCACAAAGTTCTGCCTGAGTTTTACTCCTACAGGAATGTATGTACGTTATGTAATTTATTGTAGTAACTTTGAATTGTATATTTGTATATCCTTTGTATAGTGTATTTCACATTACTTTAAATTCGTATTTCAACTACTATTATGATTATTATTGTTTTTGTTTTCTCTAGACAGAATACAGATCTCTGCATCGCCAATTATCGTATCCTTCAAGTGATACAGGTGATAAATGTGAAACTGTGAATACTTCACCAGACACTGATGATAATAACCTTAATCATAATCAACTGACTGAGAATAAATCGATCCAGTTTGATACTGATGTTACGGATACTACTCACCACCACCATCATCATCAACTTGACTTGATAAGAAATGAATTAGCTGAAAAAGATGAATTGATACAATCACTAGAATTTGATCATGCATACATTTTGAAGAAATTAAGTTTATTAAACTATTACGATAATGATGATAAGGAAAATAATATCTGTCATTCAAAAATGATGATTGTTGAACTTGTTGATGCTACGGTCGCTGAGATATTCGCTTCACGTACACTAATAACAGATTTACAATATCAAATTAATGAATTTGAAAAGCGTCTTACTGATTCTATCCCCAAAGATGATTATCATCAATTAGAAGAACAAGTTGATTCTTTGAGATTAGAATTAGATCAAGTTTATAGTGAAATTGAATATTATAAGAGTAAAATGAAGTTTGTATCATCATCTTTTGAACCTTTATTGTGTATTGAAAAATCAGCCTCATTTAATGAATTAATCGATTGTATTTTGAATAAATTTCATGAACAAGAGAATAGGATAAATTCTATGCAAATCGATAAAGAGAATGCTTTCAATGCCATGAAAGATTGTCTGGCTGCTTCTCCTAATTCTGATGTTCAACAAATACCGGATTCATTAACAAAGTGTATCGAATTAATTCGTAGTGAATCGTCTCATTTACGTGATTTAGTTAGTGATTTGCAGTTAGACAGGAAAGAAGCATTGAATTTGTTGAAACAATTGGCTCCAGATAATAGTGATTTACGCAGCATTTCTGACTATGTTAACTGGTTTATTGATCTGTTCAATAAAACACAATATCGGTTGAATGATATGGAGCAACTGTATGAGGCAACAAAAACTTGTCTGTCTGCATCTCTGAATAAATTCAAAAAGTTAGAGGAAGATACTAAATCTATGGAGGAGAAATTGACTGATTATTGTTATCGCTTAAAGAGTTGTCAGATTCGATTAGAAGAAATTGTAAACACATGTATACCTTCAATGGTGCATAACGATGTTTTGAAAAGTCTACAAGAAGCAGAAACTTCATGTAATGAATTAAAATCGAAAAATTTGAAATATGAACAAGAATTTCGGTATATTGGAAAGATTGTTGGTGAAGCATTATCAAAATCTGTAGAACTGGACAATTTAAGTGATGATATAGTGGAGATCTGTTCTTCTCTAAGATCCTATCAAAATATTTCAAGTATAGCTGATAAAAGGAGTAAAGAATGGGAGGTTAAGTTTAATAATATACTCAATGAACTTATTGAAAGAAACACCGAATTCGACCACTTACAAAATACTATCAATAGCAAAGATGCTGATATTAAAATGCTTACGGAAACAGCTGCAGCTAACCAGGAATTCACTGAAGAAATTGAACAAGAATTACATCGTTTACGTCAAGAGCATATAAACTGTCCTGCTAAACATGAATTAGTTGATGTACAAACTTCACCGATAATAAGTCTTGATTGCATTCACGACGTTGCGACAGAGATTTCAATGATCAATTTAGGTGTTGATAAAGCAATTGATAACGGTTCAGTCAGCTGTGCAAGCAATTTAAGATTACGAAAATATGGTGAATTGCGTACTGCAGCTTTTGAGATTAAACAGAAATTAATTCAAAGAACTGAGTATGTTTACTATGGTTTGAAATTTGTAATTTATCTTATCCTTCTGTTTCCAATGCGTTCTATCAATAGTGCTCACGTAGTAAGATTTATTATCCTCATTATTATTCTCTTGAGCTCCTAGTGGAACATAGTAATTCAGTAGCACATCTCCATTCCACTCTGTCCTCTGCAGTGTTATTTAGCTTACTTCCCTCACTCACACTTGTGTTTATTATCTCTCTTTTGAATGTCTCTTTGCTCTCTACTCTTGCTTTGTGTGGTGCATGGAGTGAGAGTGACAACTCGAAGTGGTGTGCATCCGGTTAAAGTTCTATGTTGAAACCACTCTTTCAGTCAGCTGGTTCCCTGATTGACTATAAGTATTCATTTCTTTTTTTGGTTGGATGGGAAAATGTCAGCGAATTCCCTTTGAACGACTTGGCCATATTTATCTCTGGATGAAGTCTCTGCTAATGCTACGTGACCAGAAGTAATAACGTGCTTCAGAATTGAAGCTGCTTACTGTTCTGCCTGCTGCTTTTAATAACCATACTGGTAGTGTTCATGGGTGCGTCTACGCAATGTTCTGCTGTTACATCCTATCTGTATACTTCAATCTACGGGATGTTTATCACAACCTTCTACTTTAAATCTCGTTTTGAAGAACAAATTACTGATGTGTGTTCTGTTTTTATGAGAGTGTTACTCTCCATTCATTTAGTTATTCAATCACCATGTTAAAAGTTAACCTTTTTTTCTCATTGTATTTCTCTCCGAAAAATCAATTAGTCATATTTTCACGTAAAATTCTTGGAATTTTTCTTTCCCTTTAGAAAACTGGAGTCCGCATTGGAAGAAGTTGCTCGACTACGCAGTGTTATTCAACAAGATAAAGAACGTGCCAGTATTACACTGAAAGAAGTTGAAGATTTGCGTGAACAGGTAGTGTATACACTTTTTCATCTGCTTAATATATTTCCTGAATATACTACTGCCTACTTACTGATTAGTATATTTTTGTGTGCGTGTGTGACATAGGTTATTCGAAAAAATCGAAAAATTCAAAGCCTTGAAGCTAAAGTGGCGCGATTACGGTCATCTCCTTCAAAAGCGAATGATATACTACTCTCAAAGATTCGATCACCCTGTCAGTAAGTTTCACTATTGTTTCTTTTTACAACTGGCAGACGATTTTATCTATGGGTCGTTGCAATGTTTCTTCATTATTTCAACATGTCTCTCTAATGATAAATATGCCGCGTGGCGTTTTAGATATCTCTTGTTTGTGTTTCACCATTGGTTTTGGCGAATTTCATTTGATCAGAAAGAATCACTGAGATTTTATCCTTATAATCTTGGTGATAATAATAATGATATAATATAATCATTCTACTCTTCTAATTCTTTAAGTTGGTCTATATACTCTTTGATGAAAAGATTATTCGAGCTAGATTTTGAATTAGTAAACTAGTAAGTGCATTAAAAAAATTGTGGATTTGAAGTATTAGAATTCTTGAGGTGATGCGGGTATGCGATTGTTAGTCTGACTGATTGGGTTTTCGAAATGTATTTGAGTGCTCAATCTGTTGACTTTGGACGCACTGTTACAGAAATTCAGACCCAGTGACATAGCTTGTAATTGAGTTTCCGAAAGAGTGACACAAGAATATTCAAACACATTTATTGGGATCAGTCGGAAATTTTCTTTCTGTTACTGCCTGCTTGAAGCTGTCGAGCTGTTTTAGGTTAGCTGACTGTGACCGTTTTTCGATTACATAGAAGTGTATTTTTCGAATTGTTGAAAGTTAAAACAGAATATGACTTCTTAAAGATATGTTCCTGTTTAACTCCACAACATGACAACTGGTTGCACCAGTTTAGATTAAGTGTACAGCGCTTTAGAATTTTCCAATTCAGATATATGCGATTGCGCCTAAGCGCCTTCCAGAAAGCTTACGGATATTCACTTTTGCTAATACAGCGTTCAGAAAAGTTAATCTCAGATTTTACTAACATAAGTTTCATAGAATAGCTGCGGGATCCAATCTGTTCCTTCGTCAGCATTGGGTCTTTACATTTTTTCAATAATTTAATAATTCCCAGTGTAACATGAAGAACACAATATTACACAACAAAGCTATTTTTAACGAATTTATTGTCAAGCTGTACAATTATATATATATATATATATATATATATATATATATATATGTATATATATATATATATATAGGGTTTATTAATGATGGATCTATTTCCTTTGAGGAAATTTAAACATATGGTATAAATTCATAAAATAAAAATAGTATGAAATGTAATTGAAATGTTCATTATTATAAACCTACATAACACCTGAATTTTGGAGGCCAGCTTAAAATTTGGGCTACCGTAAACTTCTATGAATATTACTGATTAATAATTTTTGTATTCAGACTGTTTAAATGAAGTGGAATATGACCTCCGATAGTATCGTTGACTCTGGAAGAGGATATTTAATTCATTTACAACCTGCTGTTTTGTCAGTTTCTACTAAACATATGATAAAGCACTATCCGCGATGGCAGCTTATCCCAATACACGTAATGACCATTCCTTTTTCACGTCATTTTTTCTATACTACCTTACGACCCACACTAAACTCATCGCCGCTTCTCATTGGTGTTCAACTCAATGACTTGACATGTTGTGCTACTCTAAGGTGTCCTTTGTTTATGTCCCATCTATCTCCATTCCCTTCTGAATGTTTATTTGTTGAGTAATAGGTTCCGTGCTGTTGTTTTGGCGCTTGCGAAAAGAGTTTCTTGTTACTTATCCTTCATCGTTGACCATGTAGTCTTCAGTATAGAGGTGTACCGAAGGCGGTTGTTGATCAAAGCCTTCAATAGTATGTGAAAAATGCTTTTCATTACACGAATAGTTTCAAAATTTTGGATGTTATTCCTTGCGCTAACTACTGTTGATCTCTATATCAACTTCAATGTAATGAATGCCTATATGACTCTCCCTACCGACTCTGGCTGGCTTTCACATCCGTATCCGTGCGTCGTCTTCAGTCGAGATACGTGAAACAGACAACTTGCTTTAGATATCTCCCGAAAATGGTGATTGGTTCCTCTTGTTGTTGGTTGGGTATCTTTTTATCCCCTCCGTCTTTTTGTATACTCCCTTGAATTCGTGTCTTCACTTCTTCTTCTGCCAACATGTTGGTTTTCGCTTGTAAATCTATGACTTTTTTTCATCGCTATTTGTCATCTGTTTGTTCTGGTGGGTAGTGACTAGCTTGCAAGTACGTTGTAGTGTATGCCGTTAAGAAACACAGCACATGTATGCAGACTATAGGATACTTTCATAATTAATGAATGTCAACGGCGACCTGTTTAAATCACTGGCCTACTCAAATTTTCTATCCATCAAAATACATCGTGTTTACTCCGTTTCGTATTGTTTTAATGATCTAATAGCCACATTGAGTCACAATTCATATTTTCGTGTATCATTTCAAATAAGTTTTTACCTACTAATAGGAAGTTTTCGAAGGAAATGAAGGATAAACATTGTGAAGCAGTACTGGAACACAAGCTTCATGTGGTTCAATATTACCTCAGATGAAAAACTATGGATTATTATGTTGTATGCAGATTTTGCACAAGGAGCATTCTTCAGAATAAAGCTGCCATCATTATTAAAAATGATGAAAGGAGTTTTGATGAAAGGACGATTATCTTTTTTTTCGAATTCACTTTCTCTGGGGTTGAAATTAACCGTTTTTCTGTTGACATAATCAACATGATATTTTTATATATACTGAAGAGTTCGACGTCACTACCTTGAACTATGCGTCTCTCTATTAATATCATCTCTTTCTGATAATTTAACATGTATTTTTAATCCCATTGTGATGTACTAATGGAATTAACCCTAAATTACTTCTTCTGCGACTCAGGGAATGACTTTTTACTAGGGTATAATCTCGTTGACTTAGAATATGCAGATGATATATTCCTTCTCTGTGAAGACTGAAAAAATACAGAGTCTGCTGAACACCATGAGGGGCGGCGATCCTCAAATGTTCAGCATGCGATTCGCTTCTGTCAAATTCAAGTAAGATGACTGGACTACATTCACTCCTAGCTTAAAGATAGGGAGGGACTGAAGTGGTTGGTGGAGCGTATTGATTACTTCACTTATTTGGGAAGTTGCATCATCCAACACTATCGGGTTGATTGCTGGCGAAATCCCAGCACGAAGACAGATTTATAATGTCCAACAAAATTCTATCCTTCTTCCTTATTTCTATTCTATTCGCCTCATATATCTGTTTATTCTCACTGTTTTGAATCTCGTTTCACTTTCTCCTCTTTCAGTGTGTGCTAAGTGAAGTTTTGCGACTCGAACTGCTGCACATCGGTGCAAAGTTCTACACTGAAACTAGTCAGCTAGTCAGTGAACTATGCATCTCTTTTATGTAGATCATCTTGTCTTTCTGAAAATTTAACATGTATTTTTAATCCCATTTTTTACTAACGAAGTTCACTCGTATAACTGAAAATTGTGTCATTCTCATTACTCTATATCATTTAGGTTTCTTATACTCCATTTCTTTCCCTTTTTTTTTATCAAAGTCCATTATCAGAAAAAGAAAACCCTCGAAGTGCTGTATGTCCTCGTAAAACGACAACAGCAGCAACAGCCGGATTATTATCCCAATCGAATAATTGTGCTGTATCTCCAGATATCCCTTGTTGTGATCATGTTGTGAAACCTTTATCAGATTGTACGAATCTGTTAACTCTGTCATGTGATGATTCCTTCTCAAATAATGTTCCGTCATTGGATAATGAACAGCTCCATTTACCTATTGAACCAAGTCAAATAAAGTAAGAAAGTTCATGAGATAATTTTTACCTTCAAATGTATTTTTAGCTTAAGCTTCATAGGTTCATCAAAATCAACAAGGAAGTACTATTTTGCACATCGTTATTTCCTATGATGCAGCGCAGTTAATGCGTTATGTATAATCAACTAATCATGTCTTTGTTAGGGTCTTTGGCACACTATTCAAAGTTGGCAAAGTATAATGAACAGAATTTGCATGTGGATTGAAGTGTTTCAATTAAAGAGCTACAACACAGTGTTCTGCCACCTACGTTTATCGAGGTTTCATACTTCAATTGTTTTTCAAGTCATTTGGGCATATGTCCCACCACCCTTCCTATGTATGTGTAAATATATATATATATATATTGTATGGGATGTCATGTATTCATTTGTGTAGTGTTGACGCTTGTGTTAGAGTATGTGATTGGCTTTTCGATAATTAAAAGCAGGGCTGAATAATAAGTCATCGATAATCGAATTCAGCCTTTGTGTTAGTATTCTGCTGTTAATTTCTCCAGTGGCGTAGCGGTTAGGACGCTTGCCGACCATGCACATGGTCCGGGGTTCGATCTCCGGCCGACTCACTCCTTTACCTCGCTAAGCCAGAAATAATGCTGGTGAAGAGGAAAGGTTGGGCATGAGGCTAGCAACCCCATCCTTTAAAAATAAACACTGCTACAGAAACTTCAAGCCACTAGCTCTGGAGCACTAGCTTGAAGCCGTATGTTCCACTGGGGAACGTGAAGGGAAAAAAATTTCTCCAGTGTATGGTAATTGGACACATATTCGTTTGAATGGGACAGATTGTAGGCACTTCAACATTGGTTCAAAAAACTTCAAAAGACAATTGTGTAAACATTTTATTCTCCTCAGCTGTACAAATACCCTATCTGTAAAATTAAACCCCATTCCCCACCCCATCTGCATAAAAAAATTATCGTTCTCTTTAACCTTTATTGTTACTACTTATCTTACCATATTAATAATCATTATTTTTATTATTCCCTTTGGTTGAAATTAGAACATAAGGATTCGGCAGCACATCTCCATTTTTCCTATTCCCTGTAGTCTTCTTTAGCTAGGTCCTAGATTATCCGTAGGCTCTCATCTCCATGTAACCCTTGGACCTACGCCCAAATCATCGTTTCCCATTCGCGTTCCACTTAAGGTATCGCCTGACGCGCTGTCACTCGAGGGCCTCCTCACCGTGTGTCCAATGCATATGTATTTTCTTCATTATATTTGTTGAGCAGTAGGTTCTTGGTTGGTTTGTCCTCGGAGTATTTTTGTTGCTAGTTCTTTCTATCTAACCATCCGATCTTCCGTATGGCAGCTATTGTTAAAAGTGTTCAGTAGCCTGTTAGAAATGCTTTTTGCAACGCGTTCACCAAGTTTCTGACCCAGACTTGACATTGGTGCTGAAAATCTGAATAATGTTTATTATGCCGTGGAGTACATCTGATTTCCAAACTGACTTCAGTTTTGCTGTGTTAAGTGATAATCCTATATGTGCTCAAATCCCATATCATTTTGTTTATTTTAGTTGGCTTTTTATTATACATGTATATTGATTTGACTGACAAGTACGTATGGTGATCATAATGTTCGATGTGAATTGCTCAAATACATTACACATTTTTGGATAAACTCCATCCTTTATCTAATATATATATATATATATCTTCGTTCTCAAAGTAAAGCCCTTTCTACTTTGATTCACTTTCAGCCGGTGTGATGATTTCACTAGTCTGATATCAAATTTACAATCATTAATTGATGAGTTGATGAAAAGAAGTATCAATTTAAATGGATGTATGAAATGTTACTCTTCAGAAAATTCGCTTAATTTAATCAGCAATAATATCCATGATGATGAGGATGATGCTGTTGGCAGCAGCTGCAGAAATTCTGCCATTCACCGGAAACATTCAACATCATCATGGATTGATAACGACGGATCATTTCGATTGTCATCATCAATTAATCAGCCATTAGGGTATAATTCACCAACGCCACATATTAATGGAGCTTGTTTGAAATCACATATTAAGGTTGGTGATGGTTTCAAATGTTTCGATTTTTTATATTACATGTTATTATCATTATTATCATTTGTTCCTAGTGGAACAAAGGGCCTAGGCAGGACATCTTCGTCGCATTCAGTTCTCTTTTATCATTTTCTTGTTGACTCTATGACTGTCTACAATCTTTCACTTCTTGTTCACATAATCTCGGTGTTATCATTTGACGGTTCATCTCGCTGCCTCCCGTTTGGGTTCCAGGGTTCTAGCCTAGCTGGTGCTTGACGTCACTTGAATGTTTCGTCAGCCTACGTTTTCTTCTGCTAGGTAGTAGTTTTATATTTTAGAAATTGTTGAAGTTGAATGGGGAGGGACATACTGGCTTGCATATATAAATGCGGTGATCACGAATTCATCGCTTCTCTGTGCCAACAACGTATACAACACCTACCTATTTTCTCAAGTCACTGCTTAATCGAGAACACAACGAAGTGAAACATAAGGCGTATCACTTGGAATCGAGCAGGAACCGCATCATCTGCCTCCACCTGACTGACGGACATCGAGGGAGTGGTCTGTTGTTTGCTAGTGGGAAAGCTCTGGAGCAATGGTAGCATCTCTCTCGTATGCTTTAGTCTGGAAGTGTCCAGAAATATATCCAGTGGGAAACTGCCGGTTCATTTTGTCTTTTTATTGGAAGGTGAATGCAATCAGTAGTTAGTTTTTATGTTGTGTTCCAGCTTAGGTACCGAAGTTTTATGTTCAGCTCGTGTTGACTGGATTCTCCGCACTTCCAGAGATCTGCTTGTTACTGATCCTTTTTAGCTAACCGTCTGATTTCTCAGTATAAATTTATTTTTAGTAGTAGTTTTTAGCCATTTTTCGAAATTTTTTCTGAAACTTCTGCTTTCATTGGTTTCATCCTTATCCTTTTTCCACCTTCTACTCCTCAGTAAATCAAGGGTTTGTTAAGAAGATGTTACTAAGATGCCATACAAAAATTAAAAAAAACAAAAAAACATACCAAACATTATTAACAAAGCCGCGGAACTTGGAATTATACCCAAGGTAGAAGGATGGGGTGGAGAAGTTTCTTCTATGTGCATAAATCACGGTTTTCTATCCGGATCGCTAAGGATTTGGCAATGCGAAGTATGTAGAAGCTTACTGTTTTTTGGAGACTTTTCCTGACTTTGTAGATGACTTTGAATGAATTCTCCGTGTATATAGAGTGACCAGTGTTAACTCTATGTTCAGTTATATCACTCTTTATTGATCCACTGTTACCTTCTCGTAGCCAAGCTGGATAATGTTCTTTGACTCATTTGGATAAAACACGCATTGAACGATCTATATATCTCGCTCCACATGAGCAAGTGAATTGGTGTTAGATGCACATAGATAGTTTATCTTTGGGTTTGTTGAAGAACAGTGGGCGGCTTAATAATACCTATCGTAATGTAGCAACAGGGGATGTCCTTTTCAGGACGTTAGATATCCTTTTCTTTACAATTCGCTGTCTGATGAGTGGGTCTTTCTACTATTTCTATGCATTTAGTCTTTGCGGCAAACGCAAGAAAAACTGAGAGAAATTTCTGGAAAAATGGATCAACTCTGCTCAAAATTTATACGTCAATGCGATCAACATTTAACCTGTCAAGGTTTGTTTATTGTTTAGTGCTTATTTTGAAATACTAATATCCTCTAATTATTTAATTCAATTTGCGCCTTTCTCATATTCTGTCTCAGGTTGACATGTACTGGGGATGCTTCGACAATGTCTGATTATTTAACTTGAAGTAAATTGGTAGATGGTGACTAGCAGTGGTGGGACCCAAGATGTACATTTTGCCAACTTGATATACCTGCTTTCTCCAGTAATTGATTGGTAGTGATAGTTCCCATTGGGGCTGGAACCCAGCACCCATAGTTCCAATCGCCAAAGCGTTATCTATTAGACCACTTTGAGCCACGAAAGCCACCTCTTTCTTGTGCAACAGTTGTGTTAATAATTATTAAATTCAGTCTACAAGTGTCCCAAGTGGTTAAGTGGATAATGTTTTGGCATTTGGAACTCTGGGTACTGAGTTCGAGCTTCAGAGGGAACACCATTCTCACTCACGCGGGAATGGAGGCACATCCAGTGACGAGTCCCAATTAAGACGAAATGTGCTTTATCCTGGATTCCACCAGTGCTAGTCACCATCCATCAATTTACCTCAAACCTCATGTGTAGAATTTTAGTTTATATCTTTGAATTTCACTCCGTATATTTTATCTCTCTATCGTTTCACCTGTATTTGTGAAAAGCACTGCTTTGATTTGCCACTAATAACCATGTTCAAGATTCGTACGGTAGGTAATAAGTTATTTAGTATATGCATTCTGTTGACAAAGTGTCTTGTCAAACTTCGGTAGATAATTCTGAGACAACAGCTGGGATCCTTATCTGAATGGTACCTTTTCTGAAGAGTACTAGTAAAGTTTACGTAATAGGAAGTTTTGTGTCTACTCTAAAATGCTCTTCCTATTGGTATGTGTATTACTTTATAAATTCTCACTTATGTTTCGTTGATTGATTGCAAGCCGCCATAAACAACCTGGTACAGCCGCCAGGGTGGGTAGACTTTGGTCCGCTGCCACTCCAGACGCTCTCATTTGGCCACGAGTTCATAGCTTCTACCAGTTAAGTCCTACTCATTGCTTTCATGTGATGCCGGACTTCCTTAGAAAAACCAAGAAGAGAATTTGAACGTCTGCCACCTACAGTAGGTGTACGTAGACTCCAGAATCCAAAATGTTCGAATGGCGTATGAATCTGATTTGGTCACCAGAAACTTTGGGACGCAGCTACTGACACAACTTAACTGTCTTATAGATCAGAGTTCAAGTCAAAAACTGGCATGTTGGGATGGCTACTCAAGACAATCATCTGATTCGGTCTGGGAAGTAGGTGACCCAGCCGTCGTATAGACTTTTGAATTCCAAATTGCTAGCCAATTAACAGATTGTCAATTTGATTTATCACATGACCAGTTCGACCAAGTAGTTAGCTAAAGATTGGGTGGTTTCAACTGATTCAGCTCCATCTCTGAGCTGAGTCAAACCAGGTACACTGCTGACTGATGAGCTCCTCCCCAAACGAACGAAACGGCACTCGGTTGTTTTGATCACCTTGATGTAACCGCCTGGCTGACTGGCTACTAAGCGCTGCTGGTTGAAATGAGTGGTAGGCAACTACTCATCTTAATCATATATAATCAGTAGTAAATAGTTTTATGCGAAATTTGTCTATAGATGTGAAGAAAGCAGTTTCAAATGGCTGAGGTAAAAATTTACCCTTATTGAATTCGAAGTTATGTATTTCGACTTCAGTATGTAATATGTATGCACGTGTGATTTTCTTAGCGAAATTTGTATTGACGACGTTTTTTCGTAGAGCTGATTGATTACAGGTTCTCTATGGAGCATATTATATACCGAATTCCAATAATTTTCTATTCACTAAATTTCCGATGTATGAAAATGTTAATTAACTTTTGAATAAATTTTAGAAAGCAGATGTATTCCAAGTATTTTTTGTTCCCCAACTTCTTTAGTAAATTACAAGTGATCTGTTCTCCTGTGAATTATTCGTCAACACGTTCTTCACAGTCGTCAATCTCGGTGACGCAATGTAGATCTATCTGGCACTATTCGTATCTCTCAGATTTTTATGATTCATTGTATTTCTTGTGTATATGTGTCACCTTCATACTTTTGATTATTCAGTCGTACTACATAAAAATGGTTAAATAAAACTGTTATCACCTTATGTATATCTTTATTTTTCATAACTAAAAGTATGTTTTAAAGGTTTGATAAGTAATATGTAAATACATATATGTGTTTTCGCTCTGACTCCTGTGTTTAAGCGGTTTAATATGATGAGCGATATTGAGTTTAGGCATTAAGAGGAAAGTCAATGGATATGTCTGTGAAGCTACATCGATTGCGATGGCTAGGACACGTGTTTTTCATCATGTGAGGCACCGACTTCCTCATCATCAAGCAATATTAACTAGCGTAGGATTATGATGGATAATAGTTGAGAGTGGTTGAACCAATTCATGAAGTCATTGATGACTATTGGCCTGAACCAGCAATGTGACGAGGTGTGCACTGCTTGGGATTCTAACAAACCAATGGCTGAAGACTGTTGGTGATGATATGACTGAAAATCACTTTAAGTAATACCACTGCATTTAATCTTTGTGATCTCCCTCCTCATACTTTCCCATGTTTCATTGTTTGGTAGCTACGGTTCATTTGAATTTCTCCTTTTGTGTACCTTTATTTGCTACATGGAGTGGAGTAAGTCGAACAGCTGCAGTTCTGTGTCGATTTTCAGGGAATTGTATGTGTACATGTTCGCTTAACATCAGATTTTAGATTACTAACAATAACAAGTCGGTGGATTTTATTTTCTATTTGGATTTGATATTTGCTGAAGACACAGCCTTTTTTGAATGAAGTAACTAGTGGAGTGCTTTTGTGGCTTGGTATGGGAGAAACGAGTTTCAATACGTAGACAACTCCACCGTGATTTTGAACTTTGAGGCGACGTTCTAGCAAATATTTGCTTCTAGAGAGCAAAATAAGGTGTCATGTAGCTCGGATATTATAATGTACGAAATATGCCGACATCAAAGCTTACTTTGTTTCTTGTGCAAAGGTAACAATCTTCACAATGTCCCCTCAGCCGCTGTCCTACAGTCTATTACAGTCTTCATTTTATGGTGTTCCACCATTTTTAATTTCTTTGATTTTCACCGCCTCTTTAGGACTTAAACTGACTCAATCATTTGTTGAATAGTGTTGACAATGGATCAGTTGTTATCTTGACTATCGCTGATAATACTCGTGGGCGCAGTTCATCAGTACCACTGAATTTATCAGGACTGAACTCTAGAAACCGTTGTCGTATAGTTTATCTCAATGTTCAGAGCTGCTAAACTCTGACTGTTATTATTAGCGATTATGTAGCTGAAGTTATTGGGAAAAGTCTAAGCCCTAATCATTTTTTCTTTAACCATGTTTATCGAGTCTTCACTAGTGTGGAAAGTAAGGATAGGGTTGTTTCTCTTAGTCCTTTTCTCGATAATAATAATAACAATAACCTCTCAATAACAATAAAAATAAACCTTTATTTCAGACAATATGCGAATATATGGTACAAACGTTTTCAGCGTATTTAGTTCGAAAATACTATTTTCTCCATACAGAAATTACATGTAAAGTGGTAATGTGAAGTATATTTTCATCTTGTTCAAGATTTGCACAGCACATAATTGGGAGCAAGTTAAATCAGCGCGCTAGTTCATGTGTAAAACATCTGATATAATTGGACGATTAAAACAATAATAAATCTGGATAAAATTAGGCATTTTGATGGAAAGCAATTTCGATAGCCCAGCTAATTCAGGTGAACCGCCCAAAGAAAACTTTTTGTCACTCCCCTTTCTCTTCCTGAATAGCTGCGATTTGTACAGCCCCGTAGACTGGTAAATCAAAACTGTACAGTGATTTCTGCCTCAAGTTTGAAGTGATACAGCTCAGTGGAGATAAATACGTTCCATAACCTTATGCTACGCTAGAGGAGTATCGTGATATGTATATTTATACACGAGAGACGATTTGTTGCTTTACGTGGAAACCTTCCGTGGATGAATTTACATATCATCGTTCCAAACGTATTCCTGAATTTATACTGGTTAGCATCAATAATTGATGATCCGGTGTTAATTGATCAGTCAATAGGTAAAGCATGTATCTGATAATAGCTCTGCTGTCTCCTTGTCTGTTAGGACGAGTCCGCAGTTGAACCTCCACTAGACCGGTAACCTCATTGTTAAATGATTCATCCAGATGCATTTTCATACATACATAGGAATATTCATTTAATTGATCTCAAGGCTGTATTATATATTATTTGGGCATTATGCGAATTCGGTTTCAATGGATATGACTACCAATAGTAATAATAACAGCTTTATTCGGAAAATTATGTTTTCATCAATACAGAATCTCTTGAGATTATAGGACTCGTTAGGATTTAAGATTAATTTCAGTGGTTAGATTTTCGTCACGAACCAACACCAGCTCACTGGTGGCAGCTAGATTGATTTCCTGAAGTTGAAGTGGGAAGCTGTGACCAGTAGTCCGCTCCACTATGTCGAGATGAAGTGGATGCTTACCGAAGTATTTCGTAACTCATTCATTGCTCTACAGCACCCATGAACCTAATGAAGGTAAAACATATTTTCTCTGACAAACCTTTACTGTAACGATAGCCTGGATATGTGTACATATATCCATGAACAGCGGATGTATACCCCTGTAAAGATGTTACTCCTCCACATTTACGAGCATTGTGTTAGTCTATTATCCCGACAGTACTCAAATACTAGTCCTCTAATTCGTGTGCTGCACCAACATATTTCCACAGTTTTAGTATGGGCTTATCTGATTAGTTGATCAAGGCCATTACGTCCGTATATTAGGTAATTTCATTTTGGGTCATTATAGTTCAGAGTGACCGTTGCATCAGTTCAATGTTCTACCTTGAACACTCAGCTCAGTAATGTTTTCTTAAAAGTGTTTTCGTTAATACACGCAATTTGGTAACTTAACCGACGTGGGATCTTGTATTACCGCTTAGTATTTCAAGTTAATATCCCGTGAACTATAATCAATCTCGGTCTATAAAATCTGCATTAGTAAACGTCATGTTAACTGATACGTGCGTCGGTGGCATAGCGGTTAGGACGCTTGCCGACCATGCACATGATCCGGGGTTCGATCTCCGGCCGACTCACTCCTTTACCTCGCTAAGCCAGAAATAATGCTGGTGAAGAGGAAAGGTTGGGCATGAGGCTAGCTACCCCATCCTGTAAAATAAACACTGCTACAGAAACTTCAAGCCACTAGCTTGAAGCCGTATGTTCCACTGGGGAACGTGAAGGAAAAAAAATAACTGATACGTTCTCGTGTTACGCGACTCATCTTTGTGAATCACCTGTATTTTCTTCGTATATTTTTATCTCACCTGACATAAATAAGGATTCCATAGCTTTGTTTGTTGGAACAATATTTTCACTACTGTTAAATAAAGTTGAATGAAAGACTGAAGAGGACACTGCATTATGGATAAAAAAGTTTTATTTTGATAAAATCACAGTAACATTTACTGATGACGTTTCGAGCACAATTTATTACTGCTCATAATCATATCAAGGTACTCACAACTTTCTTGCTTCATTTATATATATGAGTAAAAATTGATGATTAGACATTTGAATAAGATGGGAGAAAATATGTTTTGATAGTAAAAATAAATAACTCGTTAGAATGTTATAATGTGAATTGAATGCATCGTAACATTATTTATTATCCTCTGATTTGACTGGTGGTAATAATATCTTCCACATCTCAGGTACTTGCGTTGAGTCACTTCTATTGCATGTCTTGAGTGTAGTCAATCTGTATCTCTCTCCACCTACCTATATTACTTAAATGTCAGTTAAAAGTTTGAGCATTATTATATTACTTTTTAGAATTTTGACTCTGTCTCACCCTATTGTGTGGTTTAAACCATCTATCAGGAAAAATAATACGTCTAAGAGCATTAAGAGATGAGTATCGCTCAAAAATAGTTACTATTAAAACTAGAAAAACTGAAAACAGGAATATTGATACTAACAGCAAAAGATTCACTACATTCATCAAATGTACTTTAAGTTTAGGAGTTCGAAAGTTTATATAAGCAATGTTTCAGCAAGCTTACTAATATATTTTGTATTTTCACCTGATTGACTGATTTCAGCGTGGAACCTTGCAGAGAAGTACAGTTGCATTTCGAGTTCCTACTCTTACTCCATGTATCACACAAAGCAAGAAAAGAGAGATTCAAAACAGAAATATGAGGGAAAAAGAATAGTAATATGGAATAACAACAGAGGTTTAGCGGATATTATAAATCACAGAGAGTACATCTGCACCAGCAGCCATTGGCTACGATTTTGGGCCATATCACCAATTGTCTCCAACGTGACTATCTGACTGAAACTAGCTGCTGTGGATTTCACTAACTGATCAAACTACGTTTTCATTTGACTACTATCACTAGCTCTTTTTCAATCTGACCCTATGTCAGCTAACATTAACAGTCAAGGATGGCGATGCTTAGACATGCACTACACATGTCCTAACCACCTCAATTGATGCAGGTGCTTCACAACCTCGCTGATTGATTTCCTCTCCTAACTACCTAGCACTCAACGCCTAACCTCAATATCGCTCACCTTATCATACCACTTAACACAAAATATAGAACGCAGACACCTATAATCAAAGGCAGCTAGCCTTGTCTTATCTTCCACTTTCAATGGTCATGTCTCCTTCACAGCCGTAAAAGAGGACAAAGTGAACTGCTGAGCAGTAAATGCATCTTTTAGTCGATAGCCGGATATCAAATCTACACCAGGGATGGAGTCAACTGGCATATGTGAAACTGGTTTTCTGTATCTCTACAGATATTTCGTCCTCGATCAAGCCGCTCGCGTTGGCTGATGCAACCCACCAAATAAGTGAATTGGTCAACACGCTGTAACACTTCAAACCCTTTCTCTAACCTATGAGTCAATGTAGTCCACATACTCCAGTGTACAGTAAATTAAATGTTCGTGTTCTGTCTTTTGAAGTCCGTAAATCACTGTATCTAAAGCCCCGTTAAATATTTTAATATTCAAACTGTCCTAGTCTGTATGCAGTTGG